ACTGTAAATTAACTTCCCGAATGGAAACAAATATAATATGTCTGACATAGAGAATAATACATTATTTCATTATCTTGTTACTTTTCACAGGCGATACTGCCGAATGCTAAACTTCTAAACTGAAATAGCAACAGATGATATCTATCGACCGAACTGACAGATTCGTGTCAGCAAAAGGAGTCATCATCAAGAAACTATTTCTTCGCGTGCCAGTTTGTAACGTTCTGTGGAAACCGCTGCATTTGGGTTCCATCGAAAGTTGCAATGTTGCAAATGCAAACAAGATTAAACACACGATGAGGACGCTTTCAATAGTCAGGTGATTCAAGACATCATTATTGTATCCAAAAGTTGCCTTTAACGTTACGAAAATGAGGTTACGATTTCTCAAAAAGAACCTGCTCATTCTCCTGGGTGTTTCTTTTATTATTGCCACTGTCCTGATCACAACACGTGTTTTAATTTCTGATGAAGCCACGGGTGTTGTCGCGCAGGAAAACATGTTGTCTGATGACATGGCAAAGTTTCAGTACAATTCTGTTCCGGAATTGATTAAGTCGATTTACAATGCCAATTACAAGCAATACGTTCTGAATGCGGACAAGTATCCCGGGGAGCCTAAATTGGTCCTGGTTATTCAGGTTCACAACAGACCAGACTACCTCAAAATACTCATCAAGTCATTGGAAAATGCAGCTGAGGTCCACAACATTCTGCTGATTTTCAGCCATGACTATTTTTCAGAGGAAATCAATGACATAGTGCAAGGGATAACTTTCTGCAAGGTCTTACAAATATACTTCCCCTACAGCACACAGCTCTATCCCAGTGAGTTTCCTGGGCAGGATTCACGAGACTGTCCACGAGACATATCCAAGGACGATGCTTTAAAAACAGGATGCCTCAACGCTGAGCATCCAGATTCATATGGCCACTATAGGGAAGCTTCCATCACACAGATCAAACACCACTGGTGGTGGAAACTTCACTTTGTGTGGGAGCGAGTGCAGGCTCTGCAGGGTTACAGTGGCTTTGTTGTTTTCCTCGAGGAGGATAACTTCATCTTGCCCGACTTCTACCACCTCTTCAAGGAGATGGTTGGATACAGGAAGAGCAGCTGCCCTGACTGTGACATGTTAGCACTAGGCAACCACAACGGCCTGGCAGAGTTTGATAAGCTCAGCAACAAGGTGCAGACTGCCGGGTGGATGTCTACCAAGCACAACATTGGCATGGGCATCTCCAGAGAGGTGTACTACAAGCTAATGGGGTGCAACAATGACTTCTGCTCCTACGATGACTACAACTGGGACTGGACCCTCCAGCACCTGTCAGGGACTTGCATCTCCAAGCCACTCAAAGTGCTGGTTGCCCAGGGGTCCAGGGTTCTTCATACTGGTAACTGTGGGCTGCACCAGAACAAGGAGGCCTGTCGCCCCGAGCTGGCCCTAAAGAAAGCACAGGAGTCCCTTAAGCTTGCCAAAGCCTCCCTCTTCCCTCAGTCCCTGTCCCTAACAAATGCAGATACAGTGGAGCACAAGGCTCACATTAAAAACGGAGGGTGGGGTGATATCCGTGACCATGTCCTTTGTAATAACTATGCCAAACGTCTATGAACTATGGACTTCTCGTTCTCATCTTTTTGATGTACTGAGAGGATTGAGGAAATAAGTGCCATTTAAAATGTTCAGGGTTCCAAAGGCTGCAGTGTGTTATATTTCTTGTGGTTTTTAATGAGGTCTTCCAAGGGGTTAGCTAAAATGATGGTGTGTATGCAGCAGTGTGATTTATAGCTTGGTTGTTATTACCAAATGTAATGTGATTGCCAAATATTTTTTTATTTTTGCTTCCTCTTTTTATGTAACTGGGTTTGCTTTGTATTTCTTAAAAATGAAGACCAACATTTTAGTTAAAGTAAAGTAAAGCATTACTATGTCAGACGTCATAAAAATAACAATGTTTCAGCGCCAGCAGCTAATTATTATGGTACACATAAACTACTTTACATAGAAAACAACTGAATCAGTTATACATCCTTGACTTCTATTACATGTTAGCTCATTGCCATTTGTATACATTCTTCAGAACAAATAAGAGAGGTGAGCCGTTTGCCCAAATGGGGTGACACTTGTCCAGCTTCAGGATCCCTTACCCAGCCACACACAATCTGGAATATAAAATGCCAATTACAATATTTGTGCTTTAATATATTTGTGCTGCATATGGTACAAATAGAAAAACAACAGCAACAGTCATTGTTCGTGATGTAATGCACACACCTATAGGATATATTGTATGTAGAAAGTGACAATCTTGAAATAGCTTTATTATTGTATAGTTGCCACTAAACCAATGATCACTTTGTATCTGACAATTGGTTTTACTGGTGAATTACTTACTGTACATAAGCTACAGTATAACATTTGTTTGACTGAAATGTGTGGGTAAAAAACCCTAATGTTTTACATGGGAACAACAGGAATTGACTGATATTGGTGTGTGTGTTTGTTTTTATTGTGATGGTTGGGATTTCTTATCATTATGACCTTACAAAGATTACATTTTTGCTTGAGCAAATATTTTCATAGCCTTGCACGATACTCCTCTTCCCTCCCACACACACAGTTTGCCTAAAAGGGACATCTGTTTATTTCCATCTTCTTTGCATTTGACAATGTACCTGTGTTTTTTTTTTAACCAGCTGACATCCTTGGATCTGTCTTAAAATACAGGTAGAAATGTAACCTAAGGTGCACTGATGAGTTTCCCTTCAGTAGTGGAAATGTGTAGGATCCAGTTTCTTATTAAAAAAAAAAAAAAAAAAAAAATGTAATCAGTGCCTTGTAGACATTCCCCTTTCTGCTGGATATACCATGTGTAGTTTAAGATCTCATATGCAATATACACTGAGTATACCAAACATTAGGAACACCCCCTCACCCCCCTTTTTTGCCCTCAGAACACTCTCAATTTGTTGGGGCGTGAACTCTACAAGGTGTCGAAAGCGTTCCACAGGGATGCTGGCCCATGTTGACTCCAATGCTTCCCACAGCTGTGTCAAGTTGGCTGAATGCCCTTTGGGTGGTGGGCCATTCTTGATACACACTGGAAACTGTTGTGTGAAACCCAGCAGCGTTGCAGTTCTTGACAAACCGGTGCACCTACTACCATACCCTGTTCAAAGGCACTTAAATGTTTTGTCTTGCACATTCACAATCCATGTCTCAAGGCTTAAAAATACTTATTTAACCTGTCTCCTCCCCTTCATCTACACTGATCGAAGTTGATTTAACAAGGGACATCAATAAGGGATCATTGCTTTCACCTGGATTGACCTGGTCAGTCCATGTCATGGAAAGAGCAGGTGTTCTTAATGTTTTGTATACTCAGTGTATATTTATATGACAAATTAATGCTGAATGGTTACTCCCGCACCTTTTATTCTAAAACACAATCTTTTGAATATTTTTTTATTTTAAAACGTTATTTTGGGGTGACTGATCCAAATGCCACATTCACATCCTAGTCGGAACTAGGAAACGCTGACATTTCTGACTTGCTAACTGGTTGAACGCGACACCTGTATAACTACAACCAGTTAGCAAGTTGGACATTTCTGAGTTTCCTAGTTCCAACTTGCATGTGAACGTGGTTGTGAATTTATGTTCAGACAAAAGCTTGAAACATAGTGTTTCTGCCCATTTTTCACTTCAAATTACAATAGCCATACATAAGCATTTGGATAGCATAGCTGTCTATTTGCTCTCTCATATCTTCATTTCATGTTCAACAATATGGGAAAATAAAAGATGACTTTGTCAATCTAGTGTTGGTTTTTATTTTCCAAAGAAACTGAACTACAGTATGAGATAGGACGACAAGGTAGGCTTCAGGGTAACCATCAGTGATACCCATTTTCACAATTCATGGTTTGTAAATGGGCTGGTTATGAATGTCATATGTCCATGTGAGCAAATTAAATGCCCAAAGCTCTCCCATCAGTGGGTGTATTTGGTACAGTCAATAGTTTTAACTGGTCTATGATCAGTTATACCATTTTAACTCAGGTTAATTAACATTACAGCTAGAGCAGAAAAGCGGATCCTAGACCTGCCCCAAGAAGCAACAAATGGTCACATGACTCAATACGCTTTTACCACTGGTCAAGAGCCATTCTGTGACTTTATTTCCGGAAGTGCATCTTCAGATTGTCAGATATCCCAGATCCAAGGTTCGTAAACATCACTTCCACATTGTATTGTAAAAACTAGATGAATGATCCATCATAAAAAATGTCTGAATTTTGTGGTTTTAGATTTTCGTTTTTGTCCATAAGTCAATTAGCAAGCTAGTTCGCTAGGTAGCTAACGTTAGCTACAGTACATTAGCTAGCTAGTTGGAGTTGCTGCGGTCACATTTGGGAGGGTATTAATTAGTCGTATTCCGTTGAAAAACGGTTTGTCTGTTACAAAACGTGTCTGCAATGGAAACCGTTTACTCCAAACGTGAAACGTTTGCAACGAAAACGAGAGTTTCTATTGGACACATTCAGGAAAGGCCCTGTCCTCGTCTCGTTCTGTTTGGTTCCTAGAGCAAACGGTTTCCGTTGCAAAACGTTTTGCAACGGAATCCGACTAATTAATTACAGACTAGCTCCTTAGTAGTATTCACGTCTATTTAGTTGAGTTGGTAGTTATCTAGTAACATTATGCTAACCCGTCTAGCCTACATAATGACAAACTAGCTAGCAAGCTTAGCGATTGCAGTTGTGCTAGCTGCTAGGCCATCGGTGTACACGTCAAAGCAAGACCGTCATTGATGGTTGTCATCAAGCCACAGCCAACAAGAAAGATACGTTTACTGTCATATCACCAGTCTTTTATTGTAGCTAATCAGGCCAATTTATGTCAAATTATTTATGTATTGAATATTGTTAATTGATGTCCCTGTCCCTATGCTTCATCCAGCAGACATCCAGCTTTTACCATCCAAGCCACAGAATGACTCATTGGTTCCACCGAAACCCATTGAAAGCAACTGCACCTGTATCCTTCAACTTCTATGGCGTTGCTGGTAGCCCATCAGCAAATAAGATATGCAAGTATGTATATGTGGACACTCTGCAATTGAGATCCATTCTATGACAATTTACCCTTTGTTAAGCCCCGCTCCCCCCTTGGTTACTCTTACAACATTTCCCCCAGGAAGCGTCCTAAAAACCGGAAATTAGTTACCTCTGGTTCGTTCAGCCTTTGCTAAGGGGAAATAATAGGGTTTTTGGATAAATGCAGAAAATAAGTGAGGTTAACAAAGGCTTAGGAGATCTTATACATTTTGTCATATGAGATATTATAAGTCAGTTAATATAACCTTTATGAATTATGAAGCCTTTATGTGCTTTTTCTGATTACATAAATGCTTAAAAATTCACAAAGTGACGTTAGCTGATGAAGATTATCTCATAGAACAACATGTATAAGATCTCCTAAGCCTGTGTTTACCACAGACCTTATTTTCAGCGTTTATCCAAAAACGCCATTCATTTCCACATAGGCACTGTCCAACGAACCATGGCGGAGTTAGTGCCTACAAAAAGACGCCATTACTATTTCTCTCTATTAGTGAGTCAACCACTGGTGAAATCCCCTGACAATCATCTCAAACTGTGTTTCTAATACACAATGAAATTGAACACAGACTACCCCTTGCTAATCAGGAAACTCTTGGGTGGACTGGTATTACAATTGCTTCACGGACCCTGGTAAAATTATGTTTGTATTATACAACGGGTGGGTCTAATCCTGAATGCTGATTGGTTAAAAACGCATTCCAGCCGGTGTCGATTCCACAAGTTACCACAGGCTAAATCTATGACGTTAAATTGCCTATTTACTCTGTTCCATCTGACAGCGCAATCCACTCTCATCAGCCCAGCCAGGCAATTTATAAACTTGATCTCCACTATAAAAAGCATCTAGACATTATCTCACATTTCTTTTAGACTAACATTTAGTTTTCAACAGCGGAGATTTGTATAAACCTTGCTGTCTGTCTCTCCGACATTTACATTGTTTCAATATTCAAATTCAATCTCCAGCTGTCCCATAGTAATGAATGTGTCGGGATGAGACAGACAGGTAGGCAGCTTTTGTCAGCCAGTCGAAACCACGAAACAGCATAATTTTTATGGATATATACAAAGAACTGTCAATAGAAAACAGGTCAAACGAAACAAAGTGCAGCTTTGTTTGGAGGATATATTGGCACGGTTTGCCGGCCCTCAACTTCGTCTGGTGCCTAACAACACCCGTGCCGTTACATTTTCCAAATAACGTCTTCTCTGGCATTAACACTTAAGTGGAGCTAGCCATTGCTCTGAATTCACTGTCAGCATACAGTCAAAGCTAGCCACTATTATGATGTCGACAGCAGATGGGAGTTGTATTCATAACATTGCTAACTTGGCTAGCTAACATACATTTTGAGAAAACAAGTTATATTAAGTGGCTAGCTAGCTAGCGTTAGCAACGTTTGGCGGTCAATGAGACAGAGCTAACTAACTGAGGTAGCAAACAGTTTCGGATTCGAAAAATACTCCAACCACAGGCTCTGCATTTCAGGAATCACAGTAGCAAGTACTCCTGGTGCACTGTTCAACTATTTAGCCATTTAAATATGTATTTTTATCGAAAACTCTCCGTTTTTGCCATAGCCCTCACTGGCTTTCATGCGATTTAAACATGGGCTTGTCCGAGGTGTCTGACTCAACAACAGTTGCTATCCATTGGAGCACTGCGATTGGTTGCCCAAAATTCTTCGGCGGGGCTTGGAGAATGGTCAATTGAGAACACATGTTTGCTTGACTGTTTACATTTCTGTCCTCCTCAATAGTGACTTGAGGACAACGAGGGCAAGACTCTTGGAGATGTTCACGGATACCACCTGCAATCCCGAGATCATGAAAAATGCCACAGATATTTATTTCTCACTCTTACAAGGTGAACTTGTGCTGTTTGTTTGTGCCTTTTCTCCTGTCTTTAGCAGTGCTCACTGTTTTGTAGTGTTTATGTGTGGTCTTTCTACACTCTGTTCATCATGCATCACTATTCCCTTTGTATCTATTAATAATCAGTTGCTGATCTTTTGATTGCTTGACATGACATAGGATTCATTGCATCTCTGGATGGCACCACACAAGAGAACAAGCTTCGGTTCATGCAGAACTTCAAGTGGACTGACACTTTGCAAGGAAACACCCCAAGGTAAAGCCTTCTAGCCAATAGGTGGTTTCACAGAGGTGGTTGGTTACCCCCATCAGCCCCACAGTCAGAGCTCTACACATGCAGTAAATGTCAGTGAAGGTGTTAGTTACAGTACAATAGGTTGTTATCAATAAAACGCCACAATACGGTGCAGAGCGTTCAATTTACCTGCTCGGGGGAAAGGAGACTCCCAGCTCTGCTAAAAACATTGACAGCTGTGTGCAATTTAAGGGATTGTTAAATAAATGTTCACTATTTGGTTGTAATATCACCTCTTGAAGAGCATAGTCAGAACTACACATTTCTGATTATTCCATGCAAAACAATTGCCCAAATGTAGCTCTATCATCAGAGTTATACAGCAAGTAACTGCATGCTTTTCATGATCAGTAAACATCAATTGATCAAGTAATTTCAGATACGTCAGGGTAGCCCCACGATATTGGCCACCTTTAATTGGATATTTGAGTGATATAAAAGTGCACTATACCTGACAAGCAATGTTCTCTCATTTTTTGGGGCACTGAGCAAATTTCAGGTCTGCTAAGCACAAACTTAAACGTTGTGAAAATTCTGTGCAACTTCCAGCGCACGTTTACTGTGAACACTGAGGCGGTACCCGCTTTAAGTTACAGTTTTAACAGTGGCCAAGTAGATCATAACGTAGGCCTAACAGCGTGGCCTACCATCAAAAACAATGGAGAAAATGCATTCCATAACATTTTAACATGGAAATAGCTGTTCTGTCGTTCAGCCTACAGTAGCAGCCAATGTGTGGTGTTCAATGTAGGCCTACATTCCATTAGACTTTTGAAAAAAACATGCAGGGCTTGACTTTAACCTGTTTATCCACTTGTCGTTCAGACAAGGAGGTGACTGAAAATGTTGCGTTTGATGCAAGATAAAATGCATTATTATTCCCATACCATTATTACGGAGAATTAGACAAATTAAGCTACACTCTGCCTATTGGCTAATTAGCTTATTCAAGCTTGTCTCAAATAACAACACTGCCCCTTTAAGGCAAAAAGAAAGCTCTTTACCTGACTCGCTTTTCAAAGATGTCTAGAAATGACCATGTTTTGTGCTCTTGTAGGAAGCAATCACTCCCCTATTGCTGGCTACAAATTATCTATAACAGGGCTAATAATTCACTAACTAGCAAAGGATATGAACAAAATGTGCACAGCTCTGGCTTTGATCTCAAAACATGCGAATCTACTCACGACCGCTCATGCTGTAAACACAGTCCAGTTCAAAGTAAATGGCATAGATCCATATACAGTGCATTCGGAAAGTATTCAGACCCCTTTACTTTTTCCTCATTTTGTTACGTTACAGCCTTATTCTAAAATGTATTAAATAGTTGTTTTTCCCCCTCATCAATCTACAGTCGTTGTCAAAAGTTTTGAGAATGACACAAGTATTGGTCGTCACAAAGCTTGCTGCTTCAGTGTTTTTAGATATGTTTGTCAGATGTTATGATGGTATACTGAAGTATAATTACAAGCATTCCATAAGTGTCAAAGGCTTTTATTGACAATTACATTAAGTTTATGCAAAGAGTATATATTTGCAGTGTTGACCCTTCTTTTTCAAGACCTCTGCAATCCACCCTGGCATGCTGTCAATTAACTTCTGGGCCACATCCTGACTGATGGCAGCCCATTCTTGCATAATCAATGCTTGGAGTTTGTCAGAATTTGTGGGGTTTTGTTTGTCCACCCGCCTCTTGAGGATTGACCACAAGTTCTCAATGGGATTAAGGTCTGTGGAGTTTCCTGGCCATGGACCCAAAATGTCGATGTTTTGTTCCCCGAGCCACTTAGTTATCACTTTTGCCTTATGGCAAGGTGCTCCAACATGCTGGAAAATACATTGTTCGTCACCAAACTGTTCTTGGATGGTTGGGAGAAGTTGCTCTCGGAGGATGTGTTGGTACCATTCTTTATTCATGGCTGTGTTCTTAGGCAAAATTGTGAGTGAGCCAACTACCTTGGCTGAGAAGCAACCCCACACATGAATGGTCTCAGGATGCTTTACTGTTGGCATGACACAGGACTGATGGTAGCGCTCACCTTGTCTTCTCCGGACAAGCTTTTTTCCGGATGCCCCAAACAATCGGAAAGGGGATTCATCAGAGAAAATGACTTTACCCCAGTCCTCAGCAGTCCAATCCCTGTACCTTTTTCAGAATATCAGTCTGTCCTTGATGTTTTTCCTGGAGAGAAGTGGCTTCCTCACTGCCCTTCTTGACACCTGGCCATCCTCCAAAAGTATTCGCCTCACTGTGCGTGCAGATGCACTCACACCTGCCTGCTGCCATTCCTGAGCAAGCTCTGCACTGGTGGTGCCCCGATTCCGCAGCTGAATCAACTTTAGGAGACGGTCCTGGCGCTTGCTGCACGTTCTTGGGCACCCTGAAGCCTTCTTCACAACAATTGACCCCCTCTCCTTGAAGTTCTTGACGATCCGATAAATGGTTGATTTAGGTGCAATCTTACTAGCAGCAATATCCTTGCCTGTGAAGCCCTTTTTGTGCAAAGCAATGATGATGGCACGTGTTTCCTTGCAGGTAACCATGGTTAGCAGAGGAAGAACAATAATTTCAAGCACCACCCTCCTTTTAAAGCTTCCAGTCTGTTATTCTAACTCAATCAGCATGACCGAGTGATCTCCAGCCTTGTCCTCGAAAACACTCTCACCTGTGTTAACGAGAGAATCACTGACATGATGTCAGCTGGTCCTTTTGTGGCAGGGCTGAAATGCAGTGGAAATGTTTTTTGGGGATTAAGTTAATTTTCATGGCAAAGAGGGACTTTGCAATTAATTGCAATTCATCTGAACACTCTTCATAACATTCTGGAGTTTATGCAAATTGCCATCATAAAAATGAGGCAGCAGAAATATCACATTTACATAAGTATTCAGAGCCTTTACTCAGTACTTTGTTAAAGCAATACCTTATTTACATAAGTATTCAGACCCTTTGCTATGAGACTTGAAATTGAGCTCAGATGCATCCTGTTTCCATTGATCATCCTTGAGATGTTTCTACAACTTGATTGGAGTCCACCTGTGATACATTCAATTGATTGGACATGATTTGGAAAGGCACACACCAGTCTATATAAGGTCCCACAGTTGACAGTGCATGTCAGAGCGAAAACCAAGCCATGAGGTCGAAGGAATTGTCCATAGAGCTCCGAACAGGATTGTGTCGAGGAACAGATCTATTGAAGGTCCCCAAGAACACAGTGGCCTCCATCATTCTTAAAAGGAAGAAATTTTGAACCACCAAGACTCTTCCTAAAGCTGGCTGCCTGGCCAAACTGAGCAATCGGGGGAGAGGGGCCTTGGTCAGGGAGGTGACCAAGAACCCGACAGAGCTCCAGAGTTCCTCTGTGGAGTTGGGAAAACCTTCCAGAAGGACAACCATCTCTGCAGCCCTCCACCAAACAGGCCTTTATGGTAGAGTAGCCAGACGGAAGCCAGTCCTCAATAAAAGGCATATGACAGCCCGCTTGGAGTTTGCCAAAAGGCACATAAAGACTCTCAGACCATGAGAAACAAGATTCTCTGGTCTGATGAAACCAAGATTGAACTCTTTGGCCTCAATGCCAAGCGTCACGTCTGGAGGAAACCTGGCTCCATCCCTACGGTGAAGCATGGTGGTGGCAGCATCATGCTGTGGGGATGTTTTTCAGTGGCAGGAACTGGGAGACTAGTCAGGATCGATGGAAAGATGAATGGAGCAAAGTACAGAGAGATCCTTAATGAAATGCTGCTCCAGAGCACTCAGGACCTCAGACTGGGGCAAAGGTTCACCTCCAACAGGACAACAACCCTAAGCACACAGCCAAGACAATGCAGGGGTGGCTTTGGGACAAGTTTCTGAATGTCCTTGAGCGGCCCAGCCAGAGCCTGGATTTGAACCCGATCGAACATCTCTGGAGAGACCTGAAAATAGCTGTGCAGCGACGCTCCCCATCCAACCTGACAGAGCTTGAGAGGATCTGCAGAGAAGAATGGGAGAAACTCCCCAAATACAGGTGTGCCAAGCTTGTAACGTCATACCCAAGAAGACTCAAGGCTTTAATCGCTGCCAAAGGTGCTTCAACAAAGTACTGTGTAAAGGGTCAGAATCAATCAATCAATCAATTTTATTTTATATAGCCCTTCTTACATCAGCTAATATCTCGAAGTGCTGTACAGAAACCCAGCCTAAAACCCCAAACAGCTAGTAATGCAGGTGTAGAAGCACGGTGGCTAGGAAAAACTCCCTAGAAAGGCGAAAACCTAGGAAGAAACCTAGAGAGGAACCAGGCTATGAGGGGTGGCCAGTCCTCTTCTGGCTGTGCCGGGTGGAGATTATAACAGAACCATGCCAAGATGTTCAAAAATGTTCATAAGTGACAAGCATGGTCAAATAATAATCAGGAATAAATCTCAGTTGGCTTTTCATAGCCGATCATTAAGAGTTGAAAACAGCAGGTCTGGGACAGGTAGGGGTTCCATAACCGCAGGCAGAACAGTTGAAACTGGAATAGCAGCAAGGCCAGGCGGACTGGGGACAGCAAGGAGTCACCACGGCCGGTAGTCCCGACGTATGGTCCTAGGGCTCAGGTCTCTCAGTTGGCTTTTCATAGCCGATCATTAAGAGTTGAAAACAGCAGGTCTGGGACAGGTAGGGGTTTCGTAGCCGCAGGCAGAACAGTTGAAACTGGAATAGCAGCAAGGCCAGGCGGACTGGGGACAGCAAGGTGTCATCATGCCCGGTAGTCCTGACGTATGGTCCTAGGGCTCAGGTTCTCAGAGAGAAAGAGAGAACGAGAGAATTAGAGAGAGCATACTTAAATTCACACAGGACACTGGATAAGACAGGAGAAGTACTCCAGGTATAACCAACTAACCCCAGCCCCCCGACACATAAACTACTGCAGCATAAATACTGGAGGCTGAGACAGGAGCGGTCCGGAGACACTGTGGCCCCATCCGAAGAAACCCCCGGACAGGGAAAACAGGAAGGATATAACCCCACCCACTCCGCCAAAGCACAGCCCCCGCACCACTAGAGGGATATCCCCAACCACCAACTTACAATCCTGAGACAAGGCCGAGTATAGCCCACAGAGGTCTCCACCACAGCACAAACCAAGGGGGGGGCGCCAACCCAGACAGGAAGATCACGTCAGTAACTCAACCCACTCAAGTGACGCACCCCTCCCAGGGACGGCATGAAAGAGCACCAGCAAGCCAGTGACTCAGCCCCTGCAACAGGGTTAGAGGCAGAGAACCCCAGTGGAGAGGGGAACCGGCCTGGCAGAGACAGCAAGGGCTGTTCGTTGCTCCAGCCTTTCCGTTCACCTTCACACTCCTGGGCCAGACTACACTCAATCATATGACCTACTGAAGAGATAAGTCTTCAGTAAAGACTTAAAGGTTGAGACCGAGTCTGCGTCTCTCACATGGGTAGGCAGACTGTTCCATAAAAATGGAGATCTATAGGAGAAAGCCCTGCCTCCCGCTGTTTGCTTAGAAATTCTAGGGACAATTAGGAGGCCTGCGTCTTGTGACCGTAGCGTACGTATTGGTATGTACGGCAGGACCAACTCGGAAAGATAGGTAGGAGCAAGCCCATGTAACGCTTTATAGGTTAACAGTAAAACCTTGAAATCAGCCCTTGCCTTAACAGGAAGCCAGTGTAGGGAAGCTAGCACTGGAGTAATATGATCAAATTTCTTGGTTCTAGTCAGGATTCTAGCAGCCGTATTTAGCACTAACTGAAGTTTATTTAGTGCTTTATCCGGGTAGCCGGAAAATAGAGCATTGCAGTAGTCTAACCTAGAAGTAACAAATGCATGGATTAATTTTTCTGCATCATTTTTGGACAGAAAATTTCTGATTTTTGCAATGTTACGTAGATGGAAAAAAGCTGTCCTTGAAACAGTCTTGATATGTTCGTCAAAAGAGAGATCAGGGTCAAGAGTAACGCCTAGGTCCTTCACAGTTTTATTTGAGACGACTTTACAACCATCAAGATGAATTGTCAGATTTAACAGAAGATCTCTTTGTTTCTTGGGACCTAGAACAAGCATCTCTGTTTTGTCCGAGTTTAAAAGTAAAAAGTTTTCAGCCATCCACTTCCTTATGTCTGAAACACAGGCTTCTAGCGAGGGCAATTTTGGGGCTTCACCATGCTTCATTGAAATGTACAGCTGTGTGTCATCCGCATAGCAGTGAAAGTTAACATTATGTTTTCGAATAACATCCCCAAGAGGTAAAATATATAGTGAAAACAATAGTGGTCCTAAAACGGAACCTTGAGGAACACCGAAATGTACAGTTGATTTGTCGGAGGACAGACCATTCACAGAGACAAACTGATATCTTTCCGACAGGTAGGATCTAAACCAGGCCAGAACTTGTCCGTGTAGACCAATTTGGGTTTCCAGTCTCTCCAAAAGAATGTGGTGATCGATGGTGTCAAAGGCAGCACTAAGGTCTAGTAGCACGAGGACAGATGCAGAGCCTCGGTCTGACGCCATTAAAAGGTCATTTACCACCTTCACAAGTGCAGTCTCAGTGCTATGATGGGGTCTAAAACCAGACTGAAGCATTTCGTATACATTGTTTGTCTTCAGAAAGGCAGTGAGTTGCTGCGCAACAGCTTTTTCTAAAATTTTTGAGAGGAATGGAAGATTCGATATAGGCCGATAGTTTTTTATATTATGTAAATGTTATATTTAGGTTTTTTATTTTGAATACATTTGCAAAAATGTCTAAAAACCTGTTTTTGCTTTGTCATTATGGGGTATTGTGTGTAGATTGATGAGGGAGAAAAACTATTGGATCCAGTTTAGAATAAGGCTGTAACGTAACAAAATGTGGAAAAGGTAAAGGGGTCTGAATTCTTTCCGAATGCACTCTACATACCAAATGGATAGGCTATCCTCGCGAATCATAGTTTACAAGATCAATTTATGTTTACTGAACATGAAAAGCGTGCAGTTACATGCTGTATTACTCTGATGATAGAGTTAAATGTGGATTAATCGGAAATGTGTACTTCTGACTATGCTCTTCAAGAGGTGATGATATTAAAACCAAATAGTTATAGCATTTATTTAACAATCCCTTAAACGGTACGTAGTTGTCAATGGTTTTAGTGGAGCTGAGAGTCTCCTTGCCACCCAGCAACCAAATTGAACGCTCTGCTCCGTATTGTGACGTTTTATTGACTACCTATAGCCTTGTCTTGGTTCTTTTGTATTTCCTGCTGACCTTATTTTATGAATGTGTTATTACATCATTACTCAGGTTCAACATTTTATTTATTTATCTCACTGCAAACAGATGTTTCCTTCTATTATAGAAATACACAGTCTCTCTCTAATACTATTATTGTTATTAACATCCTGTCCCATTGTCCCTTTAGTGCCCAACAAGATGCTATTTTTGAATTGGTCTCCATGTCCTTCAATGTTGCAATTTGGCACACCAAGTTTGCCTCAAGACTTGCAGGAAAGGAAAAGTAAGTGTTTCTTTTTTGCCTTACTAATTTATTCTCATACAATGCATCTGATTATGCAAATTAGGTCATTTATGACCTTGATGTCATTTCACTCTCATTTCATTGACATATCAATATAAGGGAACACATTGACATTCTAATTTTCACCCCTTTTCAGTGTAACCGAGGTAGAAGCAAAAGATGTCCACAGGAGCCTGAAATTTGCCGCTGGGATTTTCAAACACCTCAAGGTGATTAGCTCATATTGTCTCTGTATAATAATAATAATGATATTACGTTTTATTTTAAGTGCTTTTCAAGACACCTAAAGTCACTTTGCATAGAGAGATAATCAGCAAGTACATTTTTTTTAAAGCACACCGATAAACCTATCAGTAATGGTTCCCATTTTGCCCACTTTACATTAACCTCAACACATGGTGAACAATGTGAATACATTACAGTATAATCAACCTGAACACAAGTTGCTGGTTGTTGGTGCATAGTTGTGTCTGGCGGCAGACCCACCCTCCTCTCTGGTCTCTCCCATGTAGGAGGTCCACATCCCCCGCCTCATCACCCCAGCGGAGAAGGGCCGGGACCTGGAACCCAGAGTCATCGACACCTACATGTTCCAGTGCCAAGCAGAGGCACAGGAAGGTAGCTACACTGGACTCAGTCAACTTCTCTGCATAATTATTAGGGTCAGGAGCTGACAATGTGTCTTGGCTGGGGAAAACTCTGGAGTCTAATGGCAAACTCATGGCTGTGTGTATGTGGGATTACACTGAGTAAGAACAGGATTTACGATATCATAATGCTGTAAAATTATATCATCAGTGGTTAACTTCATTTTCCTGTTTGCAGTGACGATTGCCAGAGCGATTGAACTCAAGCATAACGCCACTCTCATTGCAGCCTTGGCATTCGAGACCGCAAACTTCTACCAGAAAGCTGGTAAGTATTTAGGGGTTTCCTGTCACATCCTGACTTTGTTGAATTTTTGTAATGATCTTATATTGTGTAGGAATGTCTGGATCTAACCACTGTTGGTCCTCCTGATCACTCAAATGAATGTTATCCTCTCGGTCTTCACAGACCACACACTGAACACACTGGAGCCAGAGTGCAGCAGTAAGTGGAGGAAGTACCTCCAGCTGAAACAGCACTTCTACATGTCCTATGTAAGTCCTTGAGCAGTCTAGACAGTTGAGAGAGTCTGTTTGTTTGGACTGTTCTGTAAATACTAAGATACTAATTATAATGATGCTTATGCCTATCATTTGTCACTTTCAGGCATATTGCTACCATGGACAAACACTCCTCGCGAGTGACAAGTGTGGCGAGTCAATAAGATCTCTCCAAGAAGCAGAAAAGTGTTGGTATTTCTGTGATGGATTGTGTTTTGCATTTTTTAAACACTACACAGATGTCTCTTTTTATCTTAACAAGTGTAAACGCTTATAGCTCTTGCTTGCTGTATTTAGGCTACTCCAGAGCCGAGGCTCTGTGCAAAGAGTACCGTCAGACCAAAGGGCCGGGTAGCACGGCCAAGCCCTCTGAGCAACTCTTCTTCACCACGCTGGGTGGCCTGATCAAAAATACCCTGCAGAAGTGCGAGAGAGAAAATGGATTCATGTGAGTCACACACACACCCCCACACAGCCAGATGAACATTGATTTGTGTATAGTAAATAACAGTAAGTAGTTGTAGTATTTATATACACATTTTTCATTTCTCCAGATACTTTCACAAGGTCCCAGCCGAGGTGCCCCAGCTAGAGCTGAAGGCTAGCTATGGCCTGGCTGAGCCAATCTCCTTTGAGTTCCCAGCCCTCAGCGAGCAGTGCACCCCTGAAGTCTACAACACCTTTGATCTCACCAAGGGGGCCAAAGACGAGAAGGTAATGCTGCTCAGACATTTGGCACTGCAACAGATAACTTGGTTACTAAAGCTTTGTCTTCACATATTTTGTCGTGTTACTGATAATAATCATGTAAAGACACTGATAGGACTGGGGGGGGGGGGGGGGGCAGAAGAAAACAAGGACCAGAAGAAAAACATGACTGCATGGATTTATTGATGCATTGGTTTGTTTTATCTGTTGTGTTTTATGATCAGTGATTTACGGTAGTATGACCATCTGTTGTAGTTCATTTTATACATAGTAGTTTTCTATTTTTTTATGTTCATGATATTATTGGGTCAGACTTTATATTTGAAATGTTCTCTCACCAGTGCTGTTGGGGATTTTGGATCTTTATTTATTGCTGTCATTTAAGAAACTGACAATTAATATAGTAAGAACTTTTAACACTCCACGATGAATAGCCAATCTTTTGTAGAAAAAATTGTATGTTTTCAATTATTTTATTTTTCTATTGCTGAGATTCTCTAATTGAATCACAGTTTTCTTGCAATTGAAAAGACACCGTACTCTTCATTGCTGGGTATGGCCTGTATTTATGATAAAAACTATTGTGGAATATTCCCCTCCTTTATTGGAGACTTGAGGACAAGGCGGTGCTTGTCTTGGGTCATAATAACCTGAACAGGGCCAGCTGTTCAGTAGGAACATGGAATAACGTCTGGGAAGTTCTCAGGAAAGCGCGATGTTCTGAACGTTGTAGATAGAAATGTCACGCATGACTACTCTGCATGAGAGAGTAGCAGGCCTGTTCTACGCAAAACCTTTGAACGTTCCATAACATTGTGCCCTATGGAAGGTCTCCCGAGTGGCGCAGTGGTCTAAGGCACTGCATCGCAGTGCTAGCTGTGCCACTAGAGATCCTGGTTCGAATCCAGGCTCTGCTGTAGCCGGCCGCAACCGGGAGACCAATGGGGCGGTGCACAATTGGCCCAGCGTCGTCCAGGGTAGGGGAGGGAATGGCCGGCAGGGAGGTAGCTCAGTTGGTAGAGCATGGCGTTTGCAACGCCAGGGTTGTGGGTTCGATTCCCATGGGGTATGAAAATTAAAAATAATAATGTATGCACTAACTGTAAGTCGCTCTGGATAAGAGCATCTGCTAAATGACGTAAATGTAAAATGTAAATGATGTAGCTATTCCTGATGCTCAGAAAACTGTTGTAAAAAACCCTCAGACTAGTGGCCATGGTTGGTGTTAAGACTGGATTTGTCAGTGATTGACAAGTGCAGGAACAATAGAATAATGGTTAATGAAGAAAGAAAAGGACTTGACATTCTGATGTCATTGAAATATGTCAATCATAACCTGCTTAAACCATTTCAGTGAAGGGAGTAATGTTGTACTTTGGCACATTATTGTCTTACACATGAAAACTTATGTCGGATGAAGTAGCCTACTATGTATGTAAATTAATCAAATGAATTACTAATTGTAGTTTTATCTGTAAATGACAACGATATACACATTACTATAGTTTTTAGAGTACTGATTCGCTATAATTTCCTAAGTTGTTTTTGAAACTGTTAATGAGAGCTAGCATCTACTGAGGAGGTACAATAGGGGGAAAAGTAACCTCCAGTATGGTATACTAACTTGCCAATCAATTAAGAAAATTGTGCATTCTGTTCAACCTCATAGAGCACATTATGCCTTTGCACTTTAAATCTTATTAGTCACACAGATGTAAGAACATATAGAACATATGTTATCTCTACACAACCTCTTTATTCTTGGAACAATTAATTTTCACATTCAAGGACCAATTAGATGTATTTTTAATTAACATGTTTATGAAAAAAGTTTGCTGTATCATAACAATGTATACACAAGTCAACCTGAAAGTCATTACTCTTCATCGATTGGTGCCCTTCATGGAAAATGTGTTTCAAATCGAATAAAAACTTCAAGAAACCTTGTATTACTATTTTATGTTGCATTCAAACACTTATTTTCCTGGTGTAAGAACAGGGTGTGTGTGCTGCACTCAAGTATCATTAGCCAGAGGAACAACACCACTGCAAATAGCAGTTAACAATAAACCTTGACATTCTACACAGCGGAACAAGCCCAACCCTCAGCCGTAGAAGAAAACTGAAATGAGTAGCCTGTCATCCAATGACAGCAGTCTCTGACTGGTGTACAGAGTAAGCATAACTAAAATGTGTTTCTGGTGTGTTGAGTATCAGGTTTCAAACTAATGTAGGACCCAGTATCTTTTTTCTGTTGCCTTGATTGACCATTCTTGTGCCATCAGAGTGGAGAAAATGTATTTACTCTGAGCTGAGAAAACATTTATGCGCTACAGGCAGCAGCACAAGGAAAGGAAAACATTTTCTTCATTGTGAAGAATGAGCGACAGTTTCAAGGAAGTAAGTGCTGTTCATATGTAGGCTAAAGGGTTTACCTGTCATAGGGTTACAGACATTTCTTTATAAATATGTATTCAGTATCTCTCAACTCAGAGCTACTTTTATGATTGCTTCCTGTATGGAACATGCTAATAGCTCTTTAAGACTATCCCTTGGCAAATAGATGGCGTCAGTAGAAATTGCTTGTCATAAGCTAATATAGTATGCACACACACCATTATCAAGCACAACCACAGACCTTATGTTTTATGAATTGTTTATACAGGACATGGGTATGAGAGGATGTGGGGTCATTAACAGTGTGTGTCTCTCAGGGTCCTGACATTCAGGAGACACAGTTCGGGGGTTCTTCACTGTCCCAGCAGAGGAGGGTCATCCATTTCTCCAGCGGTGAGACTCTGGAGGAAGATGACAGTGAGGAGGAGGAAGAGGAGGGTACTTCACATGTGCAGGTGTTTAGGGAGCCTGAAGACATGGTAAGGAAGTGTTCAAACAGTTAAGATTTTGATTCTTAGTGTAAATAATGTTTAGTCCATTAGTGCAGTTGGAATGCAGCACTAATCTGTGTGTGTGTCTGTGTTTTAGCCCAAACTCCCATGGAGAGCATTTACTTGGTCTCTGGGCAGGAAGTCATTGCGCAGTAAGTTGCATTCCATTCAAGTGTGCTCTTGAAACAATAAAAAAAAAGCATGGCCTTACATAACATATTTTTGCCTTCAGCTTGTGATTTTCTTGGGGAGAAACTGGCTGGTCTACTTGGCCTCAACACTGCTAAATACCAGTATGCTGTAGATGAATATCAGCGTGACAACAAGGTAAGGTACATACAACATAACACAACACACATAGGGCCAGGAGTCATTCTTGACCACATAGAGTCAGGCATGAGTTTTTCCTGACCGTGTGAGCTGACTAGGTACAACCTGGTGATAGGCACTAGGCCCCAGAGTTTTTCCCTGGTCAGGTGAAGTGGCCAGGAAACATTTATGGACCTACACTTAAAGCCTGCACAACATAGTCAGAAATGTAGACCACATATGCATTTGTTTCCAATCTTCAGTCAAATTCTTAGCTCTTGATTAAACATACACCAACTTTAATAATTTAGCAATCACACTCAGACAGAACTATTTTCTAAACCAAATTGAAAAATTGATAAGCAATCGGTTTTGTTCCCTTCTAGAACACAGGCAGTAAAGACACCGAATGCTCCTATGAGAAAAGAAGGGAGAGAATTCACCATTCTTCAAGGATAATCAGTGAATATGGTGCCACAAGCTCCCACGGAGTCCCTGCTGGTTCTCAAGCCACTGAGCACGGAACTACAGGATCCCACAATAAGGGCTATCAAGATGATAATGAGCACTGAAAAAGAACTAGGCTAATAAATCAAATCAAAGCAAATGTTATTTGTCACATGCGTTATTTATACAACAGGTATAAACCTTACAGTGAAATGCTTACTTAAGAGCCCTTAACCAATAATGCAGATTTTTTATTAAGTAAGAAAAATTTGCTAAATAAACTAAAGGAAAAATAGTAACACAATATTATATATTGAACCCATTAGACTTGTTGTGCTACCTAAGAGAGCAAATATTGATATTGCTGTGTGTCTTTTTTGGTGTTCCTCTCTCTGTGGTTTCTACTGTATTGCACTTTATCTGTCTATATTAATACAATTCTGGATTTAAATTAAAAACATGCAGAATATATTTTCCATGCATGCCTTCAATTTGATTAAATTTCTGACTAAATGTGTTTATACATTATGTGTGCAAATGTCGCATAAATATTCTGGATAGCACAGAACATAGCTAGTTAATGTGTATAACTGATGACTGTACATTTTGGCTAGGGATAAAAGTAATCGACGAGGATGGGATTCGAACCCACGCGTGCAGAGCACAATGGATTAGCAGTCCATCGCCTTAACCACTCGGCCACCTCGTCGTGCTTCCAAATGGAAAACAGTTAGCTTTATCAAACAACGTATGTTACATCATTTTTACCCGACTGTAAATGCTTCTGCATGTTTTTTTGTTTTTGTTTTTTTCCGCAACATTTAACGTTGCATTTTAGAATTGTCCTGTCTTGATTTTTATAAATAAAATGTATTCGTTTCAGCTAGCTACTTAGCTAGCTAGCTACATCGGTCTCAAGGATTGTGGTAGCTAATTTAAAGCGAATTTATGCTTGATCTGAAATGTGGTGGAAGGCGCCGTATGGATGGTATGACGCAAATGCGGAGCCTCCGGAAGCATGCAGAGGCCAAATTGAGCTCTGTACCGCATCACTGTGCGCCTCTCAAATGTTGTAACAATGCGGAGGGATCCGTATAGCTCCGCATTGACATGATTGGTTGACGGTAGGTGAGGGCGTGAGGTCTTGTATAAACACAAACTCACTTCCTTGTAAACATCTGCGGAGCGCAAGAAGTATGAATGCCCTGACTTCCACAGAGGCCATTCAGATGTTGGACTGACCATGTACCGCCTTTTAGCCAGCAAGCAAGCAAGCGTTTCAAGCTTGACCTATCAGCGTTAGGAAAACATTTGATACGCAGGCGCACTGTCTCTGAATTCAATACGAATAGTAACAGCAGCAGCGAGTGCTTTGAAAGCTAACGCTAGCTAACATGCAAATGGCTGACAGAATAATTTCGGCTGTTTCGGATTATCCTGAGTTGTATAATATAACTTTAAACTCATACAGGGACTCACAGAGAAAGGCAAGGGCATGGAGGGCTGTAAGTCTGCAAGTGGAAATGCCTGGTAAGGTCAGCTTGCTGCTAGCAATAGCTAGCTACCTACCCAGTTAATTTTAGATAGTAAGCTAGCCAACTAGCTAGCTATAGCTACCTAGCTAACTTGTTGACCAAACTTTCTCTCACCTAGGTAGCTACATATCTAGCTACATCCGTAGTTAGCTAACTACCTGCCAATTGTTATTCCCCTAATAAAACAACATTGTGATCCCTGCAATAAGGTAAATTAGGAATAAATACATGTTTACATAACATTCAAGAAATGTCATGGTGTTTATTTTAATCATGGTCAGACCATAGGTCGAATTGAGATTGCTCTATTTGTGTTCGATGCAGATATCCTGAACACACTCCCCTCTTCTTTTTGTCTTACGTGTCATTTGGGGTGTTAGTGGATGACTGTCGGAATAAATGGAAGAACCTGAGGGACACTTTCGTCAAATTCAAGCGGGCTGAGCAGCAGAAGAGAGCATCAGGGGAGCTGGACATTAACAAGAAGACCTGGATGCACAGCAGAAGCATGTCCTTCCTTACCCCCTTCATCCAGGCCAAGGGCTTGCAAGGAGACACCACAGATGACTTGGAGGAGGAGGAAAGGGAGAGGAACGGGGAAAGTGCCACAGAAGGCGTGGACGATAAATCAGCCTTCATTATCCATGAGATTGAGGGGGACCAGGCAGACGATGAGGATGCTCCCTCTCCTGACACTGTGTCGGGATCTAATGGGCCCAGCCGGAAGAGGAGGTGGCAGATGGATGGGATGGACGGACTGGAGGACATAGAGGATGAGATGTTCTTCTTTAGTTTGCTCCCGTATCTTAGGAAGCTCCCCCATAGAAAGAAGAGTGCTGTAAAACTGAAAATACACCAACTTCTACATGAAGCAGCATTCCAATAACCCATTGCCCCGACCCCTCCCTCAATTCTGTTTCCATGGTTTTGTAAAGCACAAGCCTTCATTTTGTCCTGTTATCAACTATTGTTCTATACTGAGTTTGATGCTATGCCTGTTTATGGTTATTGCAAAGTAAATTGTTAAATAAATACTTTCAACATTTGAGGGCCTGAATTGATTACTTTGTCTGCGAGCAATTCTCCCACATGTTCAAAATAATGAAACATTACTCTCTTCCCCCTGGGCTGATGTGATTGGAAACCATTGGCAATGGTGATGCTACCAGTTGAGCAAGGTTCAACTTTATGCGAATCATTGACAAATCCAGGGGGGAGGGAAGAATCGCCAACACAAGTAGTATTTGTTTTGAACACAGAAGCAGAGAGGGGTACTTTTCAATACTTACCAGGTGGGGGCAGTCACAGCCTCACTGTCATAGAAAAAAAGTTTTTTCTCCAGCCAAGGAGTGTTGTCTACCATTAGTTTCCTTTATGGACTGAGCTTAGCCTGTTATTGTTTACTAACACTGACTTGCATGGGAAGGCACCCTGAACTGGTTATATAACATCCCACATGTCAGCAGCACTGTAGAGTCTACCATAGCAGAAAAACTTTATCAAGTGCTAAAGGTCCTCTCTGGTTCACTTGGACACTTAAACCAATCTACGGCACTGCTTCGGTATGTACCAGCTCAATCCCAATGCCTCTCTATAGCCCCGTTTATACCTGGTGCTAACATGGGTCCTTTGTCCTGATCTTGTCTACATTCTGACTGTACCCATATTTCTAGAAATGTGTCTACACAGTATTAACATTTGTCTGTTATCCATCCACTGTCTGCATTGTGACCACATTTCCTGGACCCTTCTTTATGCAAATTATTTCACAGCTAATCTTTCAAAATATTATTTATTTAATGTAAGACACATATTGATGTAATCAATCAATGGTGCCACCTCTCAATGATTTTAGAGGGTGGAAAAATTATGATTTAAATGGTTTCTCTGTCCAGATTGGTCTACATTTGTAAGATATTCAGATCAAATCAAATCACATTTTATTGGTCACATGCGCCGAATACAACAGGTGCAGACATTACAGTGAAATGCTTACTTACAGCCCTTAACCAACAGTGCATTTATTTTTAACAAAAAAAGTTAAAATAAAACAACAAAAAAAGTGTTGAGAAAAAAAGAGCAGAAGTAAAATAAAATAACAGTAGGGAGGCTATATATACAGGGGGGTACCGGTGCAGAGTCAATGTGCGGGGGCACCGGCTAGTTGAGATAGTTGAAGTAATATGTACATGTGGGTAGAGTTAAAGTGACTATGCATAAATAATTAACAGAGTAGCAGCAGCGTAAAAAGGATGGGGTGGGGGGGCAGTGCAAATAGTCTGGGTAGCCATGATTAGCTGTTCAGGAGTCTTATGGCTTGGGGGTAGAAGCTGTTGAGAAGTCTTTTGGACCTAGACTTGGCACTCCGGTACCGCTTGCCGTGCGGTAGCAGAGAGAACAGTCTATGACTAGGGTGGCTGGAGTCTGACAATTTTGAGGGCCTTCCTCTGACACCGCCTGGTATAGAGGTCCTCTGACACCGCCTGGATGCGTATAGATGCAATGCGTGTCTGACTACCTCTGGAGGTGGGCAGGATGATCTGATCACAATTAGATCACAATGTGTCTTTTGATGGTCTACACCTGTCTAGAAATTGGGCACAATCAGAATGTGGACAAAATCAGGACAAAGTTAGAACCAGGTATAAACGGGGCTTGAGAAACAATAATAGTATTGTGCCACACCTATTGTATACTTTATATATTTTATGTTTGAATCAATAAGAACTCTGTGACCATGGCCGGTATTCAATCAATCAATTGCAGAAAGATCATTTCACTCTCCAAAGTTGTATCAACCAGGGCCGGCTCTACGGGTTGGCAAAGCTGGGCATGGACCCCCCCAGATAGAATTTGTACCTCCCCAGTTTTGTTTCCCCATAAACAACAAATGGTATATGAATTTCCCTGTCTGGTTTTGCCAGTGTAGCGCTGCACGGGCCTGCCAGTAGCACAGACCGGGACAGAGGCTATATGCTGGGTGTGCTCTCATGATATGAGGAGGGGTGAGGGAGGGAGGATGTATTAATTTCATAGTAGTTAAAATCCAAAAATGCATTCTGATTGGGCACTTAACCATGCAATGTACCGCCCTTATTCACTTGTTTAATGAAGTCTCTCCCTTCTCACGTGTATTTGGGTAATATGAGATTTCCTATGAGAGCCTTCGTACCCATGCAGTGTGATAAATGTACATTATTTGGTCATGTGTCAAGTGTATGTAGACGGGAGGAGTATTATATGCCAGCTGATCCTAAATGCTGCAATTGTGGTGGTGAACATGCACCTGAATTTCTGAAGTGTCCTGTTAGGCTGAAGGAGACAGAGGTGGCAAGAATAAAGGCTGTCCAGAATGTCTCCTATCCGGAGGCGTTGAGAAGAGTGGAAGAAAGGCTTGAAGTTGAGGAAGTAATGGTAGTAGGAGTAGAGACACAAGATGATGTTCCTTGTCAACAGAGGGATCCTGACATGTTGCATGTTAATAAGGTGGACTTTGTAGCGTTTATCACTTTGGTTATCAACTGCACAGCGTAAACGGAGAGGAAATCTGAGAAAATAGGCATCATTGTGAGTGCGGTTGAGCGTTTTTCTGCAGAGGAATTTTTCTGCAGAGGCATTTCAAGGAATCCTGTCGATGAATGCTCCATCCTCACAGGCACCTGAGCCTGTGTAGGGATGTGATTTCAATGTGACTGAAGGAGTGGGATGGTCATTAGATTTATTTTTGTATTATGTCGGGTCCTCCCCTCTCCCTTCCCGCAATGGAATTTTTTTTGTTTCAATACCCCGTACAGTAGGTGGCGGCAATACACTAATAGGTGTAGTCTGCCATAAAACTTTAAAGAATAAGATGAATAGGCTAGCTAGTAGCTTCATTAAGTTTTGGAAACTCCCCAGACCTTAATCCCATTGAGAACTTGTGGTCAATCCTCAAGAGGTGGGTGGACAAACAAAACCCCACAAATTCTGACTAACTTTGACAAGCATTGATTATGCAAGAATGGGCTGCCATCAGTCAGGATGTGGCCCAGAAGTTAATTGACAGCATGCCTGGGCGGATTGCGGAGGTCTTTAAAAAGAAGGGTCAACACTGCAAATATTGACTCTTTGCATAAACTTAATGTAATTGTCAATAAAAGCCTTTGACACTTATGGAATTCTTGTAATTATACTTCAGTATAACATGGTAACATCTGACAAAAATATCTAAAAACACTGAAGCAGCAAACTTTGTGAAGACCAATACTTGTGTCATTCTCAAAACCTTTTACCACGACTGTACATACAGTGGGGAAAAAAAGTATTTAGTCAGCCACCAATTGTGAAAGTTCTCCCACTTAAAAAGATGAGAGAGGCCTGTAATTTTCATCATAGGTACACGTCAACTATGACAGACAAATTGAGAAGAACATTTCCAGGAAATCACATTGTAGGATTTTTAATGATTTTATTTGCAAATTATGGTGGAAAATAAGTATTTGGTCACCTACAAACAAGCAAGATTTCTGGCTCTCACAGACCTGTAACTTCTTCTTTAAGAGGCTCCTCTGTCCTCCACTCGTTACCTGTATTAATGGCACCTGTTTGAACTTGTTATCAGTATAAAAGACACCTGTCCACAACCTCAAACAGTCACACTCCAAACTCCACTATGGCCAAGACCAAAGAGCTGTCAAAGGACACCAGAAACAAAATTGTAAACCTGCACCAGGCTGGGAAGACTGAATCTGCAATAGGTAAGCAGCTTGGTTTGAAGAAATCAACTGTGGGAGCAATTATTAGGAAATGGAAGACATACAAGACCACTGATAATCTCCCTCGATCTGGGGCTCCACGCAAGATCTCACCCCGTGGGGTCAAAATGATCACAAGAACGGTGAGAAAAAATCCCAGAACCACACGGGGGGACCTAGTGAATGACCTGCAGAGAGCTGGGACCAAAGTAACAAAGCCTACCATCAGTAACACATTACGCCGCCAGGGACTCAAATCCTGCAGTGCCAGACGTGTCCCCCTGCTTAAGCCAGTACATGTCCAGGCCCGTCTGAAGTTTGCTAGAGTGCATTTGGATGATCCAGAAGAGGCTTGGGAGAATGTCGTATGGTCAGATGAAACCAAAATAGAACTTTTTGGTAAAAACTCAACTCGTTGTGTTTGGAGGACAAAGAATGCTGAGTTGCATCCAAAGAACACCATACCTACTGTGAAGCATGGGGGTGGAAACATCATGCTTTGGGGCTGTTTTCTGCAAAGGGACCAGGACGACTGATCCGTGTAAAGGAAAGAATGAATGGGGCCATGTATCGTGAGATTTTGAGTGAAAACCTCCTTCCATCAGCAAGGGCATTGAAGATGAAATGTGGCTGGGTCTTTCAGCATGACAATCAAACACACCGCCCGGGCAACGAAGGAGTGGCTTCGTAAGAAGCATTTCAAGATCCTGGAGTGGCCTAGCCAGTCTCCAGATCTCAACCCCATAGAAAATCTTTGGAGGGAGTTGAAAGTCTGTGTTGCCCAGCGACAGCCCCAAAACATCATTGCTCTAGAGGAGATCTGCATGGAGGAATGGGCCAAAATACCAGCAACAGTGTGTGAAAACCTTGTGAAGACTTACAGAAAACATTTGACCTGTGTCATTGCCAACAAAGGGTATATAACAAAGTATTGAGAAACTTTTGTTATTGACCAAATACTTATTTTCCACCATAATTTGCAAATAAATTCATAAAAAATCCTACAATGTGATTTTATGGATTTTTTTTTCTAATTTTGTCTGTCATAGTTGACGTGTACCTATGATGAAAATTACAGGCCTCTCTCATCTTTTTAAGTGGGAGAACTTGCACAATTGGTGGCTGACTAAATACTTTTCCCCCCCACTGTATTACCTCAATTACCTCGACTAACCCGTACCCCCGCACATTGACTCGGTACTGGTACCCCCTGTATATAGCCCCGTTATTGTTATTTTATTGTTGCTCTTTTATATTTTTTACTTTAGTTTATTTAGTATCTATGGTTCTTAACTCTTATTTTTCTTAAAACTGCATTGTTGGTTAAGGGCGTGTAAGCAAGCATTTCACGGTAAGGTCTACAACTGTTGTATTCGGCGCATGTGATAAATACAATTTGATTTGATTTCGGCCACATGCAATATTGTACACAAGCACCTTTTTTTATGTGAATTGTCATCTTATACAGTGGTGCCTGTCACTCTGCTTACAGTGTATCAATAGTAATATAATAATAATAATAATATGCCATTTAGCAGACGCTTTTATCCAAAGCGACTTACAGTCATGTGCGCATACATGCTTTTAACTATCACTTAATCAAACTGCTCAAAACTGATAACTACTGAACTAAAATAATTAGTGCCTAGTTAACATTATATTTACATTTTAGTCATTTAGCAGACGCTCTTATCCAGAGCAACTTACAGTTAGTGAGTGTATACATTTTCATACTGGCCCCCCATGGGAAACGAACCAACAACACTGGCGTTGCAAGCACCATGCTCTACCAACTGAGCTACAGGGGACTATAGTATATAGTTTCATAACTGCTGAACATTTTTTTATTTTTACCTCATGTGTATCGATTTGGCATCAACTTACGTTGAAAAGGTCAAACCAAATCATATATGGATGTGGCTGTAAATACTACATCATAGGACAAAGTGGAAAGAGTCACTATGTGGATTTGGAAAGTATTCAGACCCCTTGACTTTTTCCGTATTTAGTTATGTTACAGCCTTATTCAAAAATTGATTAAATAAAAATGTTCATGCTTAAGTTCTTACTCAGCACTGTCAACACTTTTTATTCAACACTTTTATAAGCCATAAAATGCACAATCTCCCTATTTCCACTCAGTGCTAAAACAAACACTGCAGCAGTAATGAATGAGTAGGAAAGTGTATCGATAGGCTTGCACTGTTATTATTTGCAGCTTGGTCTTTTTTAATATTGAGTAATATTTCACTTTCTCTGTTCATAGGAGAAACAACATGAATCTGTGCATGAGTCAGAAATAATGCGGTGCGACTCGAGTTTTCGCCATCAGCTGGAAGACAGTGTCCCTTTTTGGTCAGTGTCAGTGGAAGAAAGGGAGAGCGGAGGGATGTTGAGAGGCGGACCCTCAGTCTGCTGCTCTATCCCTCCGATGAGACTGACAATAGATGCAGGCACCATCGACCCAGTAAAATAAAAAATAAAAAGTAATAAAATAATAAAACGTTTCTCACACGTAATACAACAACGTATCTATTACCGGTGTGATCATACAGCCTACCTGAATTTTTGAAATATAATTTTAAAAGAATTTCCCAAACAACAATGCGTTGGCAGGGCAATTCAAGCAAAGACAATATGCGGTGATAATGTATGGGCCTATAGCTTACTGCACAAACCTTGTTGCTACAGTACTGTTTTTCATTGGTTAATGTTGCATAGGCTTACGTTTTTTAAGCCATGAGCGTTAGATCTCAGCTTGCATTTTGACTCAGGAAGTGATCTTGACTCAGAAAAGGTTGGTGACCACTGTTCTAGAGTTTTCCCTGTTAACACTATCTAAGTTTTGCCTTTAATGTGGCAATTGTGATTGAATCAAAGCAATATTAGCCATTTTCAATGCAACATATTGAAACAAAACGAACTATGCAAGAGATTTTGTTGTAGGCAGAATGCATGGGAGTAGGATTCTATGGCATTGACATGCACAACTCAGCCCGTGCTCTACACAGACCGGTGTGGCATAACCAATCAGAGCTGCAGTAGGCCTATATGCAAATAGACCATTGCTATACATGTATATAACCCACGTACAGTATTTCAGATTTTACTGAGTTACAATTCATATAAGGAAATCAGTCAGTTGAAATAAATTCACTAGGCCCTAATTTATGGATTTGACATGACTGGGCAGGGGTGCATCCATGGGTGAGCCTGCAAGGGCATAGGCCATCCCACTTGGCAAGCCAGGCCCAGCCAATCAGAAGGAGTTTTCCCCACAAAAGGGCTTTATTAATGTGATGGTCCTGGGCTGGCGTGGTTACACATGGTCTGCGGTTGTGAGGCCGGTTGGATGTACTGCCAAATTCTTTCAAATGATGTTGGAGGCATCTTATGGTAGAGAAATGAACATTCAAGTCTCTGGTAACAGCTCTGGTAGACATTCCTGCAGTCAGCGTGCCAATTGCACACTCCCTCAAAACTTTAGACATCTGTGGCATTGTGTTGTGTGACAAAACTGCACATTTTAGAGTGGCCTTTTATTGTCCCCAGCACAAGGTGCACCTGTGTAATGATCATGCTGTTTAATCAGCTTCTTCATATGCCACACCTGTTAAATGGATGGATTATCTTGGCAAAGGAGAAATGCTCACTAACAGGGATATAAACAAATTTGTGCACAAAATTTTAGATAAATATACTTTTTGTGTGTATGTAAAATGTCTGAGATGTTTTATTTCAGCTCATGAAACATGGGACCAACACTTTACATGTTGCGTTTATATTTTTGTTCAGTGTATATACGTTAACTAGGCACTACATCATTTTGGTTTAGTAGTCATTCGTTTTGATCAGTTTGATTAAGTGATAGCTAATTGTATTGTTAACATGACAAGAAAATCATATAAAAAATTAAGCGAATATTGAAAAACCGATACTTAGAATGAATATGTATCCAAATTGAAAGAGTGATTTGGTGCAGTGAATTGACTTTCTGAATTTGTTTGTTGTACTCAGTCAATTGAAAATATGCTTAGAGATTTGAAACATGAGCCATTTTGATGATCTCTTTTGATTTTGTGCTTTGAATTATGAAAATGTACCACATACTTGTGAAAATTGCACCATAGTGATTGAAAAAGACATATGGAACTTCCAAGACTCCATTAAGTCCAGACAACTGCTTATTGATTCCCCACTGGGGCAGGTGTAAATGCTCTGGTGGCCTAAGCCTACCCCTAACCTGTTTGAGTACACTGAGGAGCCCATCAACCATCACCAGACAATTAAGTATGCTAATATACAGTGCATTTGGAAAGTATTCAGACCCCTTGACTTTTTCCACATTTTGTTACGTTACAGCCTTATTCTAAAATTGATTAAATTGTTAGTTTTTTCCCTTCATCAATCTACACACAATACCCCATAATAACAAAGCAAAACAGGTTTTCTGAAATCTTTGCAAAAAATAACAGAAAACGGAGATATCATATTTACATAAGTATTCAGACCCTTTACTCAGTACTTTGTTGAAGCACCTTTGGCAGTGATTACAGCCTCGAGTCTTCTTGGGTATGACACTACAAGCTTGGCACACCTGTATTTGGGGAGTTTCTCCCATTCTTCTCTGCAGATCCTGTCAAGCTCTGTCAGGTTGGATGGGGAGCGTCGCTGCACAGCTATATTCAGGTCTCTCCAGAGATGTTAGATCCGGTTCAAGTCCGGGCTCTGGCTGGGCCACTCAAGGACATTCAGAGACTTGTCCTGAAGCCACTCCTGCGTTGTCTTGGCCATGTGCTTAGGGTCGTTGTCCTGTTGGAAGGTGAACCTTCTCCCCAGTCTGAGGTCCTGAGCGCTCTTGAGCAGGTTTTCATCAAGGATCTCTTTGTACTTTGCTCCGTTCATCTTTCCCTCGATCCTGGCTAGTCTCCCAGTCCCTGCCACTGAAAAACATCCCCCAGCATGATGCTGCCACCACCATGCTTCACCGTAGGGATGGTGCCAGGTTTCCTCCAGACGTGGCGCTTGGCATTCAGGCCAAAGAGTTTAATCTTGGTTTCATTAGATCAGAGGTGCCTTTTGGCAAACTCCAAGTGGGCTGTCATGTGCCGTCTGGCTACTCTACCATAAAGGTCTGATTGGTGGAGTGCTGCAGAGATGGTTGTCCTTCTCCACAGAGGAACTCTGGAGCTCTGTCAGAATGACCATCGGGTTCTTGGTCATCTCCCTGACCAAGGCCCTTCTCCCCCGATTGCTCAGTTTGGCTGGGCGGCCAGATCTAGGAAGAGTCTTGGTGGTTCCAAAATTCTTCCATTTAAGAATGATGGAGGCCATTGTGTTCTTTGGGACCTTCAATAATGTAGAAATGTTTTGGTACCGTTCCCCAGATCTGTGCCTCGACACAATCCTATCTCTGAGCTCTACGGACAATTCCTTCGGTCTCATGGCTTGGTTTTTTGCTTTGGCATGCACTGTGAATTGTAGGATCTTATACAGACATGTGTGTGCCTTTCCAAATCATGTTCAATCAATTGAATTTACCACAGGTGGACTCCAATCAAGTTGTAGAAACATCTCAAGGATGATCAATGGAAACTGGAAGTACCTGAGCTCAATTTCGAGTCTCATAGCAAAGGGTCTGAATACTTACAGTACCAGTCAAAGGTTTGGACACACCTACTCATTCCAGGGTTTTTCTGTATTTTTACAATTTCTACACTGTAGAATAATAGTGAAGACCTCAAACTATGAAATAACACATAAGGAATCATGTAGTAACTAAAAAAGTGTTAAACAAATCAAAATATATTTGCATTGATGACAGCTTTGCACACTCTTGGCATTCTCTCAACCAGCTTCACCTGGAATGTTTTTCCAACAGTCTTGAACGAGTTCCCACATATGCTGAGGACTTGTTGGCTACTTTTCCTTCACTCTGCGGTCCGACTCATCCCAAACCATCTCAATTGGGTTGAGGTTGGGGGATTGTGGAGGCCAGGTCATCTGATGCAGCACTCCATCACCCCCCTTCTTGGTAAAATAGCCCTTACACAGCCTGGAGGTGTGTTGGGTCATTGTCCTGTTGAAAACAAATGATAGTCCCAGTAAGCCCAAGCCAGATGGGATGGCATATTGCTGCAGAATGCTGTGGTAGCCATGCTGGTTAAGTGTGCCTTGAATTCTAAATAAATCACAGACAGTGTTACCAGCAAAGCACGCCCACACCATAACACCTCCTCCTCCATGCTTTACGGTGGGAAATACACATGCGGAGATCATTCGTTCACCCACACCACGTCTCACAAAGACACGGTGGTTGGAACCAAAAATCTCCAATTTGGACTCCAGACCAAAGGACAGATTTCCACCAGTCTAATTTCCATTGCTTGTGTTTCTTGGCCCAAGCAGGTCTCTTCTTATTATTGGTGTCCTTTAGTAGTGGTTTCTTTGCAGCAATTCGACCATGAAGGCCTGATTCACACAGTCTCCTCTGAACAGTTGATGTTGAGATGTGTCTGTTACTTGAACTCTGTGAAGCATTTATTTGGGCTGCAATTTCTGAGGCTGGTAACTCTAATGAACTTATCCTCAGCAGCTGAGGTAACTCTGGGTCTTCCATTCCTGTGGCGGTCCTCATGAGAGCCAGTTTCATCATAGCGCTTGATGGTTTTTGCGACTGCACTTGAATAAACTTTCAAAGTTTTTGTAATGTTCCGTATTGACTGACCTTCATGTCTTAAATAATGATGGATTGTTGTTTCTCTTTGCTTATTTGAGCTGTTCTTGCCATAATATGGACTTGGTCTTTTACCAAATAGGGCTATCTTCTGTATACCCCCCCTACCTTGTCACAACACAACTGATTGGCTCAAACGCATTAAGAAGGAAAGAAATTCCACAATTTAACTTTTAAGAAGGCACACCTGTTAATTGAAATGCATTCCAGGTGACTACCTCATGAAGCTGGTTGAGAGAATGCCAAGAGTGTGCAAAGCTGTCATCAAGGCAAAGGGTTGCTATTTGAAGAATCTCAAATATAAATTATATTTTGATTTGTTTAACACTTTTTTGGTTACTACATGATTCCATATGTGTTATTTCGTAGTTTTGATGTCTTCACTATTATTCTACAATGTAAAAAATAGTAAAAATAAGAAAAACCTTTGAATGAGTATGTGTGTCCAAACTTTTGACTGGTAATGTATGTAAGTAAGGTTTTTCTGTTTTTTAATTTTTAATACATTTGCAAACATTTCTAAAAACCAGTTTTCGCTTTGTCATTATGGGTTATTGTGTGTAGAGTGATGAGGGAAAAAATTATTTAATCCATTTGTGGAAAAATGTAAGGAGTCTGAATACTTTCTGGATGGACTGTATAGTGTAGGTTAACAGCAAGGATAAACTGATATCACAATACGCCTTGCTCATATTGATAAAAAGATATCAACATTATATTGAAATAGCTATTTTTAATTAATTAATTATTATTAATATGCCATTTAGCAGACGCTTTTATCCAAAGCGACTTACAGTCATGCGTGCATACATTTTTTGTGTATGGGTGGTCCCGGGGATCGAACCCACTACCTTAGCGTTACAAGCGCCGTGCTCTACCAGCTGAGCTACAGAGCTATATTGGTGCCCAAACCTAAAATGTGCATATTGAGAAGTAATTGTATTTATCATCACATGCTTGTATGTTTAGCTTTGTGTTTTGCTTGAGTGCTTGTTTTTCAAACAACAGTATTGAATGGGGAATTGTAGCAGATAAATATCATTGTATGTTTGAATTACCAATTCTGTATAGAGATCAGATAAATTCAAAATCACGATATGCCTTGCTCATATTGATATCAAAAGATTGAAATACCGATATTGGTGCCCACCACTAATATCTAGGATGTAAAATGTAATCCTTAATTCTAGAAAACTGATGTCTGCAGCATCAGGGAATATAATTGTGTGTGTGAGAGAGAGAGATCCTTCTTGATCTTAAAAATCCTAATCTACTAATTACATCTGATATGTTCATAGTACTCAAAACCAGGCTACATCTACAAGTCCAGACACACCACCCCCCAATTACAAAGGGTATAGCGAGGGGCCGCCTTGTCTTACAGTGAAAGCGAATCAATAATGTTTATGCAGATTTTTCCCTTGCAAAGGCTTCTGGGGGTGATCTACTGTGCCCCATGAGTCCAAATGTGCACTTCACATTTCCATATCATAAATCTCATGTCATATACAGTGTCAACGTTTTTTATCACTAGGTTTGATGTACTCAGTCAATTTAAAATGTGCTTAGAGTTTTGAAGCATGAGCCAGTTCGATGACCTGATTCGATTAATGTGCTTAGAGTTGTGAAAATCTTCCACATACTTTTAAAGATTGCATCAAAGTGATACATAAAACCCTGTAACTTCCAAGCCTCTGTGAAGTCCAGACAACTGCTTGTTGATTCCCTGCTGGGCCAGGTGTGAATTTTGCTAAGTTACAGCCTTATTCTAAAATGGATTAAATCGTTTTTTTCCTCATCAATCTACACACAACACCCTATAATGACAAAGCAAAAACAGATTTGCAGAGTTTTTTGCAAAGGTATATATAAATAAAAAAACAAAAAAACATTTACATAAGTATTCAGACCCTTTACTCAGTACTTTGTTGAAGCACCTTTGGCAGCGATTACAGCATTGAGTCATCTTGGGTGTGACGCTACAAGCTTGGCACACCTGAATTTGGGGAGTTTCTCACATTCTTCTCTGCAGATCCTCTCAAGCTCTGGCACGTTGGATGGGGAGTGTCACTGCACAGCTATTTTCAGGTCTCTCCAGAGATGTTCGATCGGGTTCAAGTCCGGGCTCTTGCTGGGCCACTCAAGGACATTCAGAGACTTTTCCCAAAGCCACTCCTGTGTTGTCTTGGCTGTGTGCGTAGGGTCATTGTCCTGTTGGAAGGTGAACCTTCACCCCAGTCTGAGGTTCTGAGCATTCTGGAGCAGGTTAACATCAAGGATCTCTCTGTGCTTTGCTCCGTTCATCTTTCCCTCGATCCTGACTAGTGTCCCAGTCCCTGCCGCAGAAAAACATCCCCACAGCATGATCCTGCCACCACCATGCTTCACCATAGGGATGGTGCAAGGTTTCCTCCAGACGTGACGCTTCATATTCAGGCCAAAGAGTTCAATCTTGGTTTCATCAGACCAGAGAATCTTGTTTCTCATGGTCAGAGTCCTTTAGGTGCCTTTTGGCAAACTCCAAGCGGGCTGTCATGTGCCTTTTACTGAGGAGTGGCTTGCATCTGGCTGTTCTACCAAAAAGGCCTGATTTGGTGGAGTGCTGCAGAGATGGTTGTCCTTCTGGAAGGTTCTCCCATCTCCACAGAGGAACTCTGGAGCTCTGTCAGAGTGACCATCGGGTTCTTGGTCACCTCCCTGACCAAGGCCCTTCTCCCCCGATTGCTCAGTTTGGCTGGGCGGCCAGCTCTAGGAAGAGTCTTGATGGTTCCAAACTTCTTCCGTTTAAGAATGATGGGGCCACTGTGTTCTTGGGGACCTTCAATGCTGCACACATTTTTTGGTACCCTTCTCCAGATCTGTACCTCGACACAATCCTGTCTCAGAGCGCTACGAACAATTCCTTCGACTTCATGGCTTGGTTTTTGCTCTGACATGCACTGTCAACTGTGGGACCTTATATAGACAGGTGTGTGCCTTTCCAAATCATGCCCAATCAATTGAATTTACCTCAGGTGGACTCAAAACAAGTTGTAGAAACATCTCAAGGATGATCAATGGAAACATGATGCACCTGAGCTCAATTTCGAGTCTCATAGCAAGGGGTCTGAATACTTATGTAAATAATGCATTTCTGTTATTTGTAATTTTCCAAAAATGTCTAAAAACCTGTTTTTGCTTTGTCATTATGGGGTATTGTGTGTAGATTGATGAGGAAAAACATTAATTTAATCAATTTTAGAATAAGTCTGTAACATAACAAAAAGTAGAAGGGATCTGAATACTTTCCAAATTCACTTGTCACGGAGACCGCCGAGGCTGCTCCTCCTCCTTGCTCGGGCAGGCTTCGGCGTTCGTCGTCCCCGGAGTACTAGCTACTACCACTTGATGTTTTCGATGTTTGTTTGGTTATGTCTAGTTGGTGCACCTGTCTCGTATTCTGTCTTGATTATGTCTCCTATAAGTTCCCCTGTGTTAGGTTTGCATTTTGTGTGTTATTGTCGCCTGTCGTGTATGTATAGGTTCTGTGACCTTGGCTTTTGTGGGTTTTACACACTTGCGTATTTTGTTATGCCTCTTGTGTTTTTGGTGGCTGTGGATTTGTGTGTACCTTGAGAGGTATTAGTAAAGTCGTCTTGACTATTCCTCTGTGTCCTGCGCTTGACTCCACCACCGCATCCACATCAGACCTTGACATCACTGTATATATTTTTAAATATTATCCTTTATTATTTTCCCCTAACCCTACCACCCCTCCCATAATTGGAGTAAACTAATGGACAACAACACTTAGGCTTCTACTTCCATCTTATACAGTACATGCTATATACATTTTAAGGACACAGTATATTTTACATTAGTTATCTTTTATTTGTTTTTTGTCCCATCCTTCAACTACCCTCAACCCCTTCCCATCTATTTCTGAACACCATCCAGTTTTGATTTCTATTTGCCATATATATTTCAACTATGCTATGATGTTTCACAAAAGTTCTGACACTTCTATTCTCATAGTTTCTACAGAGTGTAAATTAAAGATGAACATTTTTGTTAAGAGTATTATTATATTATTGATCGATTTGACTATGACTTTTCAAATCACCCAGCAGTGATATTTGCAGAGTTGCAGAGTTGTCCAGGTAAATGTTTGTTGTTATTCTATAAAACAACAGTTGGTGACGTGTACGGCTACATTTCAGATACATCTTTGTGCATTTGAACAGTAGTAGGACCAATCTACCTTGTTTTTATTGGAGCTCTAAAGCATTATACTAGTTGTGCTCCCCCCCAACCACCCACCCACCCCATGGATTTAAAATGCCCCCTCAGGCATATCATCCTGGAGCCAGGCCTGGTATCAACTGTATGTAAAAATATATATTAATTACTTATAATGTTTATGTTTGGTTTGGACACTTGTAATTGTACATGCATGCACTAAAATAACATTGTTGCAAGTTGCTCAATAATGAAATTATTGTTTCTGTGAGATTTCTGTCGCTTTATTTATGAGATGGTTGAAAGAGCACACACATACAGATAACAATGTAATAATTAATTATTAACATAGGGCTAGATTCAATCCGGACCGCAGAAGATCTGCGTTACAGCGCGATTGACATTTAAAGGTAACTTCTGATTGAACCAACATATGCAGCGTCTTAGCGTGAATTCAGTCTCTGCGAACGTGGGAACATTGCCTTTAGATGTCAATCACTATAACGTGGATCTTCCACGTTCCAGATTGAATCTAGGCCATAGACTAATTGAGATACTACCCTTCCCTAGTAAAGCTAGTTAATCTTAGTTTCTCATTCTATTACTTACATGCATTTGGTCTACAGCCACAATTTATGCTGCTATATTCCTAACAATAAATTGGTGGCAGTGAGTTTAAATTATTTATTTATTTATTTTACCTTTATTTTACCAGGTTAGGGCTCTATTCAATCTGTATTACTGAAGCGTTACAGATTGCGCGATATAAATGTAAAGATAATTTCCGATAATCACACTGTAACGCTGAACTTCCGCGATACGGATTTCATAGAGCCCTTAGTCTCATTGAGATTACACATTTATTTTTGTAAGACAGACCTGGTTTCAAAAAGCAGCACACAAACATTTAAAAGATAAAACACAAAGCACTACAGTTTAAAAACATCAGTTTACACATTGAACAGGCACATTGGTTTTGGGAGGAGGGGTTCAACTAGGGGTTAAAACATTGACAGCCCCTAAATCATTTTTCACCATAGATGTTAATCTAGCTTTAAAATAAAAAACTATTAGGCCGGGATTCAATCAAAGGTGCGTTGTCTACAAGTGTACAGCAAATGAAGTGCATTTGAAGCTAATTTCCGCGTGCGCCGATATCTGCAGTGTTTACAATGAACGCAATCTCCGCAAATGTTGGGGAAATAGCCTTTAAAAGACACCTTGTTGCTAGGCAATGTGCTTTTCTACAACAGGGTTTCCCAAGCTCGGTCCTGGCCCCCCGGGTGCACGTTTTGGTTTTTGCCCTAGCACTACACAGCTGATTCAAATAATCAAAGCTCCAGGGTGCTGTTGGAGAGACTCATTGCTGTATGACAATGTAATGAGACGGACACTTTGTACACCGTGAAGGTTTCTCAGATCAAATAGCCCATCCTAATTGGAGCCTAATCAAATATAAAATATGCTGATATGTTAACAACTAACATATCCTAAAAACAGGACAGGTCAAAGTAAAATGGGCAATATGGAATGGACAATCAGGCTACTCACAATTGCTGTCCAGGAGTTTCACCCCGTGGGCTAAATTGTCATGATCAGTGGTTTCAAGTTTGTATCTGTAAATTTTTGACAGCTGATCATAGCGAAAAAGTAAATACTTCTGCATTTCCCGCTGTGTAAACTCATTGATTCTCATTGCAAATAGGCTCAGGATAACTCCTGATGAACTTGGGTATCTGATTTTCAGAGCTTAAATAGCCAAATTGATTAGTCACAGGAATTAGGACTAATAAAGGCAATGCAAGTGTCTGTTTTACAAACGGTAGGACTACCACATGGATGGGCATTCATAAGATTCCATTGTGGGCTGACATGGTAGGCTACAGCCCAGTAAGCACGGACCAACGGCAACGTCTTTTGGCTGTCTTTTTTTGGTGTTTTACAAACGTTAGGCCTACCACATTCAGTAAGTATCTGATCCCCTGCTGATTTTGTACGTTTGCCCACTGACAAAGACATGATCAGTGTATCATTTTAATGTTAGGTTTATTTGAACAGTGAGAGACAGAATAACAATAAAAAAATCCAGAAAAACGCATGCTAAATCTTTTATAAATTGATTTGCATTTTAATGAGTGAAATAAGTATTTGACCCCTCTGCAAAACATGACTTAGTACTTGGTGGCAAAACCCTTGTTGGCAATCACAGAGGTCAGACGTTTCTTGTAGTTTGCCACCAGGTTTGCACACATCTCAGCAGGGATTTTGTCCCACTCCTCTTTGCAGATCTTCTCCAAGTCATTAAGGTTTCGAGGCTGACGTTTGGCAACGAACCTTCAGCTCCCTCCCCAGATTTTCTATGGGATTAAGGTCTGGAGACTGGCTAGGCCACTCCAGGACCTTAATGTGCTTCTTCTTGAGCCACTCCTTTGTTGCCTTGGCCGTGTGTTTTGGGTCATTGTCATGCTGGAATACCCATCCACGACCCATTTTCAATGCCCTGGCTGAGGGAAGGAGGTTCTCACCCAAGATTTGACAGTACATGGCCCCGTCCATCGTCCTTTTGATGCGGTGAAGTTGTCCTGTCCCCTTAGCAGAAAAACACCCCCAAAGCATAATGTTTCCACCTCCATGTTTGACGGTGGGGATGGTGTTCTTGGGGGTCATAGGCAGCATTCCTCCTCCTCCAAACACGGCGAGTTGAGTTGATGCCAAAGAGCTCAATTTTGGTCTCATCTGACCACATCACTTTCACCCAGTTCTCCTCTGAATCATTCAGATGTTCATTGGCAAACTTCAGACGGGCCTGTATATGTGCTCTCTTGAGCAGGGGGACCTTGCGGGCGCTGCAGGATTTCAGTCCTTCACGGCGTAGTGTGTTACCAATTGTTTTCTTGGTGACTATGGTCCCAGCTGCCTTGAGATCATTGACAAGATCCTCCCGTGTAGTTCTGGGCTGATTTCTCACTGTTCTCATGATCATTTCATGCCGTCCCTAGGAGGGGTGCGTCACTTGAGTGGGTTGAGTTACTGACGTGATCTTCCTGTCTGGGTTGGCGCCCCCCCTTGGTTTGTGCTGTGGTGGAGACCTCTGTGGGCTATACTCGGCCTTGTCTCAGGATTGTAAGTTGGTGGTTGAGGATATCCCTCTAGTGGTGCGGGGGCTGTGCTTTGGCAGAGTGGGTGGGGTTATATCCTTCCTGTTTGGCCCTGTCCGGGGGTTTCTTCGGATGGGGCCACAGTGTCTCCGGACCGCTCCTGTCTCAGCCTCCAGTATTTATGCTGCAGTAGTTTATGTGTCGGGGGGCTGGGGTTAGTTGGTTATACCTGGAGTACTTCTCCTGTCTTATCCAGTGTCCTGTGTGAATTTAAGTATGCTCTCTCTAATTCTCTCGTTCTCTCCTTCTCTCTGAGAACCTGAGCCCTAGGACCATACGTCAGGACTACCGGGCATGCTGACACCTTGCTGTCCCCAGTCCGCCTGGCCTTGCTGCTATTCCAGTTTCAACTGTTCTGCCTGCGGTTACGAAACCCCTACCTGTCCCAGACCTGCTGTTTTCAACTCTTAATGATCGGCTATGAAAAGCCAACTGAGAGACCTGAGCCCTAGGACCATACGTCGGGACTACCGGCCGTGGTGACTCCTTGCTGTCCCCAGTCCGCCTGGCCTTGCTGCTATTCCAGTTTCAACTGTTCTGCCTGCGGTTATGGAACCCCTACCTGTCCCAGACCTGCTGTTTTCAACTCTTAATGATCGGCTATGAAAAGCCAACTGAGATTTATTCCTGATTATTATTTGACCATGTTTGTCACTTATGAACATTGAACATCTTGGCATGGTTCTGTTATAATCTCCACCCGGCACAGCCAGAAGAGGACTGGCCACCCCTCATAGCCTGGTTCCTCTCTAGGTTTCTTCCTAGGTTTTGGCCTTTCTAGGGAGTTTTTCCTAGCCACCGTGCTTCTACACCTGCATTACTAGCTGTTTGGGGTTTTAGGCTGGGTTTCTGTACAGCACTTCGAGATATTAGCTGATGTACGAAGGGCTATATAAAATAAAATTGATTGAAAATTGATTGATCATTGCAACTCCACGAGGTGAGATCTTGCATGGAGCCCCAGGCTGAGGGAGATTGACAGTTATTTTGTGTTTCTTCCATTTGCGAATAATCGCACCAACTGTTGTAACCTTCTCACCAAGCTGCTTGGCTATGGTCTTGTAGCCCATTCCAGCCTTGTGTAGGTCTACTATCTTGTCCCTGACATCCTTGGAGAGCTCTTTGGTCTTGGCCATGGTGGAGAGTTTGGAATCTGATTGATTGATTGCTTGTGTGGACAGGTGTCTTTTATACAGGTAACAAACTGAGATTAGGAGCACTCCCTTTAAGAGTGTGCTCCTAATCTCAGCTCGTTACCTGTATAAAAGACACCTGGGAGCCAGAAATCTTTCTGATTGAGAGGGGGTCAAATACTTATTTCCCTCATTGAAATGCAAATCAATTTATAACATTTTTAACATGCGTTTTTCTGGATTTTTTTGTTGTTATTCTGTCTCTCACTGTTCAAATAAACCTACCATTAAAATTATAGACTGATCATTTCTTTGTCAGTGGGCAAACGTACAAAATCAGCAGGGGATCAAATATTTTTTTCCCTCACTGTAGATGGACTTTCATAAAATTCAATTTCAGGCGACACAGACATTGATTATCTGTCAGCTTCGGACCAAATCTGAACCAATCATAGACGTCTATGTTTGGTTCAGAATTTTTCCAGTCTGGACTTGATTCGGTCCAAACATAGACGTCTATTTTTGGTTCAGATTTGGTCCGGTCTGGACCGACCTTGATTTGGTCCAAACATAGACGTCTATAAATTACTTGTTTTCAACTTTCATTCAGAACCAAAAATTTACCTGATTTAAACTTCTGGAAAATACATATTTTTCAACGTCTGGAAAATATGTATTTTAAACGTCTGGAAAATACGTCTTTTCACATTTCATTCAGAACCTAAATTGAACCTAACTTCAACGTCTGGAAAATACCTATTTTAGAAGTCTTTTCAACGTCATGTTTCTTACTGGGACTATTCTAGGTTTGCAGGGGCCAGGACTGGGCCTGGTCTACAACACCCCTCTGATTTGAATCCCGGGCTTATGGTTTATTACAATAACTTTGATTTACGCATTTCATCTACAGTCATAATGCAAGTGCAGGACAACTCAATAAATAAATTATATTAACAAAATGTCATTGACCAACATAGCAGTAATATTACGACATCTCTTCTGACATTAAAGTATGCTACAGTACTGTTTTTAGAGAATAGGAATACAAATGTTTACAGGAAATCACAAAGATGTGTTTAGCAATTGATTCATGTGTATGAGTTTAGTTATTAATATGAAACATAATAGGTTATTGACATAATATAATAAACACCACCTAGCCATCCCTATCGATGAGGAACCAACCAGGTGGATGTTTCCCTCTACGTGAGAGTAGTGGCAGATGGGTGGGTTGGTCCTGATCCAGTATGTAGCTAGTTCTCTGAGGTAGAAAACATATGATGAGTACAGTGTTCTTCAATCCCCAATCCTGCAGACCCTTAAGGCTTTTTTTGCAGCCCAGTACTAACACATCTGATTTAACTTATTAAGGGCTTGAAGAGTAAAACATTGTGTAATAGTTAAGTGTTAATTGCATTAATTACATGTGTTCTGCAGTCAGCAGCAGACATATGTGTCCTGTATCAAGACTGTACAAACCTTGATGTTCATCACTTTTTGAAGGGGACTTTCATATTCTCACTATTCCCTTTGGGAGTAGATGCCTGGTGAGAGAGGTGATCTGAGTTTTCAGTAACAATTGACATTAAGTTGCTTTTCTGTGTAGTAACACTGTACGTTCTATAATAACAGCATTGTATTACAATGTTGGTATATTGTTCTCTAATTGGCTTTGCATTCTAATTACAAAGGAATGGAGCCGAGCGTTGTTTGTTATTACACACTCCGCATTCCATTTGTGTATAACAAAAGCCGTTCAATTCCATTACTATTACAAAGCAATTGCCATAGTACTATGTAAGTACAATGTTGTAACTAGCAAAATTATAGCATTACTACACAGGTATAAGAGCAACTTAAGAACATTTAACCACATTTTCCTGCTCTATAAATGAATGGGAAGACAACCAAAGCAACTATAAGAGCAGAACTCACCCCAGCCAAGATTAGTCTCAACACTTCATCTCGCACCTGGTATTAACATGACAAAAATGCAGTAGTGGTAGTACATAGTATACATAGTTCACTATTGTAACACACTATTAAATAATATTATATCACATGAGATCCCTAATGATCGACAAATACCTTTTTCTCTGCAAAACATCCAGTCAGCAAAATGAAGAAGCCCTGAAAAAATTGGACACGATAAATAAATACAATGGTTAAAACTGATTTCCGCTCCTTTCACTCAATAGTTTCAGACAATAATATTTGTAATGGAAAATGGATGAAAAAGTACCTGTAAGGAGTTTATGATGGCGAAAGCATAATGCATCACAACATCCATTAGTTTGTTTAACTCAATGAGCAGAAAGAATCCGAAAACCCATGTTATCCCAAAGACTGGTGTTAAAAAGAGCACCACTTTCAGGATGCTTTTGGCTGTCTCGTTCTCGTCGGCTTTACTCCCATCAGGGATACTGGACTTTACGAGCGTCATGATGACAACACACATGGAGAAGAGATTCATCAAAACAATCGTCCCGACGGGCAGAAGAAATGAATGAATGGACCCTTTCAGAAGTCCATCATAAGTGAGCCAGCAGGTTTTCGTGTCATAGTAGGGTTTTTCCGTGTATTTGTAGTACACATAGGTAGCTGCCACGATCACTGTGGGACAGACGTAGCCGAGGACGGTGGAAAAGAGCAGATACACCCTCTTCCTCAGCGGGTGGAAGACAAAGATGAGCTGGTGTATTAGCATGACGCTGAGGCATAGCATCCAGCAGAACATAGCCAGGAAGAAGAAATGCTTGGTCACGGTCAGGATGAGGCACCAGGTTGCAGAGATGCTGGGGAAGGACGAGGCTAGGAAACTGCAGTCGGCCAATAAAAGGCATAGAGAGATGTTGACCAGGGCTGTGTGGCGGAAGTGCGAGAGGTTGGACTTCACAACGGCCGACCACACCAGCGCCTCGATGAAGAGGAAGACGAGGAGGGAGCAGATGGACATGCCCAGGCCTACGTAGGTGATCTCATCCAGAAAGGGCAGGTTCGGCGGGGTCTTGGACATGAGCACTGAGAAGGAGGTCAGGTGGGTGCACTCGCAGTAGCTTCTGTTGTTGACCATTTCCTTCCACTTGCAGCCTTCTTCAGACCATTCCTTCAACGTGGTGTTCCAGAACACACAGAGGATTTTAGAGTCTTGAGCCATTGACTGGTTGATGGGAAAGTCCAATTTGATGTCTATTTTGGAGTCGTTACTGTTTTGCAGTGTGGCTGACACCACAATGCTAGGGAACTCACTGTCTGGGAATTTTGAATTGTTTAATTTGTCAACCAGATTCTTTACTCCCACAGTTTTTACTATTCCTGAGGACTGGGCCAATTTGACCTCCACGCCAAACACAGTTTGATTGCAAGATGAGTTGTTTTGAGCTCGGCAGAGATTGAATTGTAGATTTGGGGTGTCATTTCCGTTACTGGTATTCATTTTAATGTTCTTTACTAGACCCTCGACAGACTTGAGGTATTTTGAGGACATTCCATATTCAATGGTTTTGTTGACTGCCTTCCAAGGGTTATTCAACATGTTGCTTGCTGCACCAAGAAAAACCTGAGAATTGTATTTGACAAATTAATGTTTCTGTATGAGATATATTGTACACAACAGTATAACTCTTGACTGGGGTATGTGCAAGTCACCCAATATTTGGCAACCGTTTAAAGGTGCAATCTGCAGTTCAAACAATAACAAAGTGCCACTGTTTTGGTCAATATCTCAGGGATGGAGTTAGAGGAATGTAACCACTCTCAAATTCATACAGTGAGGGAAAAAAGTATTTGATCCCCTGCTGATTTTGTACATTTGCCCACTGACAAAGAAATGATCAGTCTATAATTTTAATGGTAGGTTTAATTGAACAGTGAGAGACAGAATAACAACAACAAAATCCAGAAAAACGCATGTCAAAAATGTTATAAATTGATTTGCATTTTAATGAGGGAAATAAGTATTTGACCCCCTCTCAATCAGAAAGATTTCTGGCTCCCATGTGTCTTTTATACAGGTACCGAGCTGAGATTAGGAGCACACGCTTAAAGGGAGTGCTCCTAATCTCAGTTTGTTACCTGTATAAAAGACACCTGTCCACAGAAGCAATCAATCAATCAGATTCCAAACTGTCCACCATGGCCAAGACGAAAGAGCTCTCCAAGGATGTCAGGGACAAGATTGTAGACCTACACAAGGCTAGAATGGGATACAAGACCATCGCCAAGCAGCTTGGTGAGAAGGTGACAGCAGTTGGTGCAATTATTCGCAAATGGAAGAAACACAAAAGAACTGTCAATCTCCCTCGGCCTGGGGCTCCATGCAAGATCTCACCTCGTGGTTGCAATGATCATGAGAACAGTGAGGAATCAGCCCAGAACTACACGGGAGGATCTTGTCAATGATCTCTAGGCAGCTGGGACCATAGTCACCAAGAAAACAATTGGTAACACACTACGCCGTGAAGGACTGTGCTCAAGAAAGCACATATACAGGCCCGTCTGAAGTTTGCCAATGAACATCTGAATGATTCAGAGGAGAACTGTTTGAAAGTGTTGTGGTCAGATGAGACCAAAATCGAGCTCTTTGGCATCAACTCAACATGTTTGGAGGAGGAGGAATGCTGCTTATGACCCCTGCAACACCATCCCCACCATCAAACATGGAGGTGGAAACATTATGCTTTTTTACATTTTAGTCATTTAGCAGACGCTCTTATCCAGAAGTTAGTGTTAGTGAATACATTCTTTTTTTATTTTTTTTATACTGCCCCCCCCGTGGGAATCAAACCCACAACCCTGGCGTTGCAAACGCCATGCTCTATCAACTGAGCTACATCCCTGCCGGCCATTCCCTCCCCTACCCTGGACGACGCTGGGCCAATTGTGCGCCGCCCATGAGTCTCCCGGTCGCGGCCGGCTGCGACAGAGCCTGGATTCGAACCAGGATCTCTAGTGGCACAGTTAGCACTGCGATGCAGTGCCTTAGACCACTGCGCCACTCAGGAGTACTTTGGGGGTGTTTTTCTGCTAAGGGGACAGGACAACTTCACCGCATCAAAGGGACGATGGACGGGGCCATGTACCGTCAAATCTTGGGTGAGAACCTCCTTCCCTCAGCCAGGGCATTGAAAAATGGGTCGTGGATGGGTATTCCAGCATGACAATGACCCAAAACACACGGCCAAGGCAACAAAGGAGTGGCTCAAGAATAAGCACATTAAGGTCCTGGAGTGGCCTAGCCAGTCTCCAGACCTTAATCCCATAGAAAATCTGTGGGGGAGCTGAAGGTTCGAGTTGTCAAACGTCAGCCTCGAAACCTTAATGACTTGGAGAAGATCTGCAAATAGGAGTAGAACAAAATCCCTCCTGAGATCTGTGCAAACCTGGTGGCCAACTACAAGAAACGTCTGACCTCTGTGATTGCCAACAAGGGTTTTGCCACCAAGTACTAAGTCATGTTTTGCAGAGGGGTCAAATACTTATTTCCCTCATTAAAATGCAAATGAATTTATAACATTTTTGACATGCGTTTTTCTGCATTTTTTGTTATTCTGTCTCTCACTGTTCAAATAAACCTACCATTAAAACCATAGACTGATCATGTCTTTGTCAGTGGGCAAACGTACAAAATCAGCAGGGGATCAAATACTTTTTTCCCTCACTGTAGATGGAGCTATGGATGAAATTATAGTTTTAACCATTCTCCAGCTGTACAGTGTTTGTTTACAATTACATTGTTTACAAACATTGGAGTAAAACAAGCTTCTATTTTGGGTTCTGATGTGTTAAGACAGTTGAACTAAGCTACTGAGGCCTTTGTAAGTTATATTATTCTAGAATCAATGGCTATATATCATGACTTAGTCCAAAAATGGACATAGCAACTGCAGATTGCTCATGTAAAGAGTAATCTATCTAACATAAAAAAACAGAATGGCTCACATCTAAAACGGACTCATCCAGGGTGATGGTTTCTGATGCTTCAGACATGACATCCAGAACACTGATGGATGCATTCAAATCAGCAACTGAGCTGCCCGTGCCAGCAACTGTGCTGTTCTTCAACCCAGAAAATATTTCAAGAGCGATGTCCTGAGTGGCCCCAAGTCCCTCTCTAAAGTTCTGTAATGGTACAACATACATGGAATAGTAACTTTCTTTCCAATACCAACACATTCTACAGGCCTAAAATATTTTTATGATAGTCACATTATTCCAGTGGCTGGATGTGTAGTTGAAGAATGTGATATATCACCAACCCGTGAGTAATGTTGTAATGCAGGAATGCAAGCGCTTTCACTCAAAATATAGGCATCCCCCAAAACACTACCAATGTTCTATATCAAGTTTAACGTATGAGAATTGTATGAGTACAGAAGGTTTAAAGCCATACTCACTTCTGCTGCATTGAGAATGTTATTAAGTTCCTCACTGACACAGTTATCCAGCACATCCATCCATTCAGGCCCCTTGCATGTCCGCTCGTTATAGCCCACTCTTCTCGGCTCACATTGTCGGATGACAATAGTTTCGCCTTTTGGGGTTTTTGGCCAAAGATAGTCTACTAAACAAGCCGTCTCCGTTTCCTTAGCTGATAAAAACAAGCTTTTGTCAGTGAGGACTATTAATAAGAACTAAGCATCCACTTCATTTTTGTAAATGTTGTATAAATAAACCATACAAGTTTATTTCTGTCATTCAAATGTGTTTCTTAAGTGACTTGTTGAAGTGGCCTTATGTCCAAAAGAGATTAAGAGGATTAAGTAAGTTAATTCAAAGGACTCATACAACTAAAACATACCATACATCACTGGTATAGTTATGCTTGCACTTTCAGTCTCGTTCTCCTGGTTTGTAAAGTTGACTGTGACAACATGCGGTAATTTTGATTGCTCGCAATTTATCTTTGGATTTATGCTGTAGCTGGTCCCCGCTGGCGAGACTAGAAAATAATGTTGAAATTTGCAACTTTATACATTTTGAGCACAAAGAGAAATAACGTGATACATAGTTCAAGACACAGTTCATAAGTGTACCTGAGCTGGGTTTTTGGGATTCCATTTGAGCTTGGTATGACCAAGTAACATTGTAAATCTCTGTGCTGTTCTTGATGGTTGCGCTGACCATCACACTTTGAGGGCTTGGACCTTGGCATTCTACAGTCAGTGGGGCACTCGTCATGGTGATCTCATCTGGTAGCAGGGCTACCTTCAACTCTGCAGAGGCTGCGTGCACAATGGATCCTTTGGAAAATCCACACTTATAAATTCCTTCAGAAGCAATAAAGAAGCAATAAACATTAACATATCAGTAGGCATATTTCAGCATCGAACAAATCAGATTTAATATTTACAATAACTACATAAACAGGAAATATAATCCTATTCCCTCGATTTATATTGGCAAGCATCATAGGTCTCCCAGACGCACCTGCCCAGTCCCCTGACAACTTTTTAATTTGGACTGTGGTACAGTTGGGTGATGCCTCTGGGAATGTGACGGTTATGCTGGTTCCAGTGTTCAGACCAAATGTCTCACTTCCCTTTATCAAGTTCCAGTTCCAAGTGCCGTCTGTTTCATCAAATGTTGTTTTATCAAATGTGCAGCTCAGCGTCGGTGTTGAGCGGTATGCCACTGTGTTCATTGGATACTGAATGCTCACAATTCCTGTGGAAAAGTAGAGACATACAGTATCAATACAAAAAAGAATACAATACATCTTTACACGCTTCACATAATCATTACCAACCAGACATAATCAATTTCATACCATAATTCTTGCTACATTTCTTAATATCATACTGTCTTTGCAGTTGTTTGTATGGTTCGAAGGTTATCATAGAACCAAAAGCTTAGCAAATAAAAACTCTGCAACTGCATCTGATTGGAGTGTGCAGAGCCTTATCTGAGCCTAATGTGGCAGATATCATGGTCTTAATATCACTACGTGAAAGGACTGTACTGTAATGGAAGAGGCAGGACATTTACCTGATGTTTCAACAGATATTTTGGCAGAGGAGCCTACAGTAGTTTCCAGGTCAGCTGTTATGTTTGCAAGTTTTTTAATCAGAAATATGACACTGAGATCCACTTCGAAATCAACAATGTGGCCATCACCCCTTATGTGTCAATATTGAGTTGCCAATGGGTGAAAGGGAGACAAAAACAGAAATTGATGTTGCATCTTTGGGGAGAAAAACAAGCACTCTGCCAAATATTAAAGAATGAATAAATCCCATAATTAATGTTGAATGTATTACCTAGGTCCAGATACATTAAGGCCCTCAAACCCATTAAATTTTTGAAAACCCTCTGTAAGCTGAGAGAAAAAGGAAATGTTTTCATCAATATTAAATATAATGTGTGTTCAGGTATCACTTGTTCAGGTTATAAGAAATGTATATACATTCCTTTAAGTCATTATACATTTTATTCATTTAATCTAAACCAAACTATACTATTTCAGCAGATTTGAATTCCATAAATATACAAATGAAAATGTACCTGTTGTTTGATAGTATTAGTTTCACTAAATACTTTTTCCGCTGTAACTTTTCCATTAAAGCGAACTGTGTAAACAAAAACAAAAAATGATAATTGTGACAATATAATACTGCAACAATATCAACAACTACATTAATAATAGCAGTGAATTACAATTATTAGTAGAAATAACAGCAAAAATTATACAATCAATAATTAATAATAATCAATAATTGTTAATAGCATTATCTAGCCTATTGATCATATCAAATAATGGTAGTAAAAATATCAGTATCAACAATAATACCTTTCACTTTGGGAATACAGAAGGCTGGCAGGTAAGAAATATTTGCGTTACAATATGAGTCATTGCAACACTGGAACTCGTCACACACCGCATTGCTCCAGATGTACTTTGTCGAACAGTTACATGTACAATCATCCCCGACAATATCACATTCTACACAGAAACACACATTATCAATCAACAACAATCAGACAATGGATGAAAAAACACTGATAAAGGAACATTTCTCTATGAAACCATATTTGGTAGAAATACTGATACTGTACCCGCTGTTAGTTCAAGCAGTTCAATAGTCATATTTCCATTAACTGTAGTTATTTCCTTGATTGATGATAGAGTACCAGAGATGTCCAATGTAACATTGCTCTCTACCATGAACTCAGCCATGTAGGTATCTAAAAAAATCAGTGACATAAAGGAACATTTTTATTTTAGGCAAATGTGGAAGAGAGCCTTTTCAGCAGCTGATTCTAATGATAGGGGGAGGATCTTCAAGAGTGCATCTGCTTGTGTGAGCGAGTTATAAATTCAATTGTCCTCATGCGGCCCCTTTCTAGTTCTCTTCATAGAGAGTAACTGCTTGGTTTGTTATGTATTCAGACATAAATATACAGATCAAATAACTCACCCACTGCTAAGGCCTGTGTAAATGAAAAGAGAGACGCATTAGATTTCATCATCAAAGGGTGAATAACTACATACACTACCGGTCAAAAGTTTTAGAACACCTACTCATTCAAGGGTTTATCTTTATTTTTTACTATTTTCTACATTGTAGAATGTATGCACTAACTGTAAGTCGCTCTGGATAAGAGCGTCTGCTAAATGACTAAAATGTAAATGTAAAAATGTAGAATAATAGTGAAGACATCAAAACTATGTAATAACACATATGGAATCATGTAGTAACCAAAAAAAGTGTTAAACAAATCAAAATATACTTTATATTTGAGATTCTTCAAATAGCAACCCTTTGCCTTGATGACAGCTTTGCACACTCTTGGCATTCTCTCAAACAGCTTCATGAGGTAGTCACCTGGAATGCATTTCAATTAACAGGTGTGCCTTGTTAAAAATTAATATGTGGAATTACTTTCTTCTTAATGTGATTGAGCCAATCAGTTGTGTTGTGACAAGGTAGGGGATGTATACAGAAGATAGCCCTATTTGGTAAAAGACCAAGTCCATATTATGGTAAGAACAGCTTAAATAAGCAAAGAGAAACGACATTCCATCATTACTTTAAGATATGAAGATCAGTCCTCTCATGAGGACCGCCACAGGAATGGAAGACCCAGAGTTAGAGTTACCAGCCTCAGAAATTGCAGCCCAAATAAATGCTTCACAGAGTTCAAGTAACAGACACATCTCAATATCAACTGTTCAGAGGAGACTGTGTGAATCAGGTCTTCATGGTCAAATTGCTGCAAAGAAACCACTACTAAAGGACACCAATAATAAGAAGAGACCTGCTTGGGCCAAGAAACACAAGCAATGGACATTAGAACGGTGGAAATTTGTCCTTTGGTCTGGTGTCCAAATTGGACATTTTTGGTTCCAACCGCCGCGTCTTTGTTTTTGAAGAATCTCAAATATAAAATATATTTTGATTTGTTTAACACTTTTTTGGTTACTACATGATTCCTTGTGTGTTATTTCATAGTAAAAATAAAGAAAAACCCTTGAATGAGTAGGTGTTCTAAAACTTTTGACTGGTAGTGTATGTCAACTGGAATTAGTCTGTGAAATAAGATACATTCATTAGGTTACCTCAATTTCTTTAAAACATGTCTTGTTGTTTTTATCGGTGCTTACCTTTACTTAATTTACTTGACTAACATCCATGGTTACTGTGTAAATTGTCCTACTGGCTCATTTAAAATACTATTGCAATGTACTTCTTACCTGGTGGTAGAGGAATACCACGCCACAGAAAAGTATTACCGCTCTGGCCCACATCGTTTGTCTGATGGAAGCAAAGAAGATTGACACTGCTTCAACAATTTGGACACATTAATGAACTACAATGTTCTGGATATCTCAATGTAATTGTCTTCGAATTAAAGGAAGACTGAAGACAAAACATCAATTTTCATGATAGGTGCTCCTATCATCAACCTTACTGTATTTATGTCTCATTTGAGTCGGTGCTATTTGTTGCTTTTATTATTCTATTTAGATTTTATTATCCATCTCTGGGCTATTTACAGTGAGGGAAAAAAGTATTTGATCCCCTGCTGATTTTGTACGTTTTCCCACTGACAAAGAAATTATCAGTCTATAATTTTAATGGTAGGTTTATTTGAACAGTGAGAGACAGAATAACAACAAAAAAATCCAGAAAAACGCATGTCAAAAATGTTATAAATTGATTTGCATTTTAATTAGGGAAATAAGTATTTGACCCCCTCTCAATCAGAAAGATTTCTGTCTCCCAGTTGTCTTTTATACAGGTAACGAGCTGAGATTAGGAGCACACTCTTAAAGGGAGTGCTCCTAATCTCAGCTTGTTACCTGTATAAAAGGCACCTGTCCACAGAAGCAATCAATCAATCAGATTCCAAACTCTCCACCATGGCCAAGACGAAAGAGCTCTCCAAGGATGTCAAGGACAAGATTGTAGATCTACACAAGGCTGGAATGGGCTACAAGACCATCACCATGCAGCTTGGTGAGAAGGTGACAACAGTTATTCTCAAATGGAAGAAACACAAAATAACTGTCAATCTCCCTCGGCCTGGGACTCCATGCAAGATCTCACCTCGTGGAGTTGCAATGATCATGAGAACGGTGAGGAATCAGCCCAGAACTACACGGGAGGATCTTGTCAATGATCTCAAGGCAGCTGGGACCATAGTCACCAAGAAAACAATTGGTAACACACTACGCTGTGAAGGACTGAAATCCTGCAGCGCCCACAAGGTCCCCCTGCTCAAGAAAGCACATATACATGCCCGTCTGAAGTTTGCCAATGAACATCTGAATGATTCAGAGGAGAACTGGGTGAAAGTGTTGTGGTCAGATGAGACCAAAATCGAGCACGTTGGCATCAACTCAACTTGCCGTGTTTGGAGGAGGAACGCTGCCTATGACCCCAAGAACACCATCCCCACCGTCAAACATGGAGGTGGAAACATTATGTTTTGGGGGTGTTTTTCTGCTGAGGGGACAGGACAACTTCACCGCATCAAAGGGACGATGGACGGGGCCATGTACCGTCAAATCTTGGGTGAGAACCTCCTTCCCTCAGCCAGGGCATTGAAAATGGGTAGTGGATGGGTATTCCAGCATGACAATGACCCAAAACACACGGCCAAGGCAACAAAGGAGTGGCTCAAGACGAAGCACATTAAGGTCCTGGAGTGGCCTAGCCAGTCTCCAGACCTTAATCCCATAGAAAATCTGTGGAGGGAGCTGAAGGTTGAGTTGCCAAACGTCAGCCTCGAAACCTTAATGACTTGGAGAAGATCTTTAAAGAGGAGTGGGACAAAATCCCTCCTGAGATGTGTGCAAACCTGGTGGCCAACTACAAGAAACGTCTGATCTCTGTGATTGCCAACAAGGGTTTTGCCACCAAGTACTAAGTCATGTTTTGCAGAGGGTTCAAATACTTTTTCCTTCATTAAAATGCAAATCAATTTATAAGATTTTTTACATGCGTTTTTCTGGATTTTTTTGTTGTTATTCTGTCTCTCACTGTTCAAATAAACCTACCATTAAAATCATAGACTGATCATGTCTTTGTCAGTGGGCAAACGTACAAAATCAGCAGGGGATCAAATACTTTTTTCCCCCACTGTATTTGCTTTTATGTTTCACTCTAAGGTAGATACTGCTGTAAAGAATATACGTCATAACCATTATTAATTAACCTCTTCTCTCCTGAGCTCCTTTCCCTGAAATATACAAAGTTCTAAATTAGCTAGTCAAACTTTCATTTGCCTTACTTTGCATTCCCCCATAATACAGACACCGCCGGTGGTGAACTTGTCCTGTTGACCTGCTTATGATGCAATAAATGACCCTTGTCAATCACTCTCTGCTCATTAAACAAAACATAGAACAATCCACTCACTATGTACACTGTATGTCCTCTCAATTATTTACATGGTCATATCAACAAAAACCATTATTTCATTAAACTACACTGCCACGGCACACGTATTTGCATGCGTTTTTAACTAAAGAAGACTTTCAACATTTTACTTGAGGTTACCGACTTCGGTTCAATTATTTGAATTCCATTTTGTTCGTTTTTTTTCTGTGAGCTCCATGTGCAGTTTCTGTAGAGATAAATCAGATGATGCCTGAACTGTGCAATGTAGTAGGGAGTTGTAGTTTCCAAACGGCCAACATTCTACATAGTTTTACGCAGAAAACGTGAGACCATAATCCATTGCGTACCCGCTTAAACTTGTTCGGCAGTTGATTCGCGAGCCTGAAAATACATGATTTAAGTGATTCATAGCTGGTTTTCAGAGTCATAAAAGTTTGCCGTATTTATTTTCAAGAACTACTAAAATAGTGATTTTGTCAGACAGCATAGACAGTAGCTCTATAGAGATGAGATGACTTGGAATTAAATAATAAAGTAATCAAATGAAACAAATATATTATTAAAGTAAAGTAATGTGAATAAATTATGGTTAATAAGTGATAAGCAGTAATGGGCAGTCACTACCATCATGGGACTTTTATTAATTGTTTTATTCAGAGTTACAGCATTCAACCCACATAATGCATAGTGCATTTAATGTCTAATCGAAACCGAAATTGAAAAACCGTGATAATTTTTTTATAATCTAACAGTCAGCTGGGTCAACATGTTGATACTAAATCCTGTAATCACAAAACATCATGGTGCTTTCAGAGGTTGCTTTTGTATCACAACACATAAAAACAATATATGCCTAGTTATTCATTAATGTATGGACTCTCAATATGACATTAATTTGAGCATTAATGAGATGGTACACCAGGTTAGTGTGAATGGAACAGAAGACTATACAGAAGCAGCCTATATACACTTGACAGTTGAAGTCACCTGACCTGAGTAGGTTACATTGCCCCTGACCTTTATATTTTCTATCTATGGAAGCTCACTTTATTTGAAAAGACTGTGAGCAAAAATGAACTGGAGAGTCTCAATTGAAAGGACTTTTTAGTCCAGAAGTAGGATAATCTGGGCCTGGGAAATGTAGCCCAACTAATTATTAGACTACTTAAAATGTAACCAAATAGAAAATAGTCACAATATTCATAATAATATGTTTCATTAACACAATACTCGTTTTTTTTCAAACGGTATTTTCAAACCACAACTTGGCATAAATTTGAATAAGAATATACAGGGCAACCAACAAGTATTAGGCAGTACGAACCATTTGTTAATGCA